GAATTTGTAGGAGTGAAAAGTCACAACTTCTCGTTGAATATTCTATGTGATGATTTGAAAGAAGAGGAAAAAATGAGTCAAGGGAAACAAGAAAAGATCTAAGAATAGAATTACGAGTGGAGGACGGAAATTGATGAGTGCAGAGAAATGTTGACCTGCCTGTTAGTCAAGAAAGACACATAAATTAATGAATAGGCTAGAGTTCTTCATGAATTTAATATGGTTCTGCAAGAAAAAATCGAAAACTAGGAAATGGAAAGTTTAAAAAACTCGTAATTTTAAACAAAAAAGTGTTCCTCATAATCAATACTAATTGTGTTAGTTTCAAACGATATGCATATCTCATGGGAACGGAGATAAATGAGCTCAAAGTGCTCGTTTAGGGTGGTTAGAAAATTTAGGAAAAGCTTGAAAATGATAAATATGAAAACTTGAATGACGATGTGGAATGAAAACATTCTGGAACCCATTTTTGAAGAGTTTATGATATGTACACTATCTGCGAAAAATTCGGGGGGTACAATGATTCGGGAGTACAAGGGGGTACAACTGATTTAGGGGTACAAAATTGGTGATTCGGGGGTACAAAATTCGTGGCTACAAATATTCGGGGGTACAACGATTCGGGGGTACAAACTATCAATGATTCTGGGGTACAACCCATTTCATTTAGGGGTACAACGCTTGTGATTCGGGGGTACGATTTTTTTTGAGGGAGTTTCTGAATTCCTGAATTTCAGAGCTTGAAAATCTCAGAATTCTTAGAATTTCAGAACTTTGTAATTCCAGTATGTCGGAATCTGAAAATTTCGGAACTTCAAAATCTGAGAATCTGAGAATTTCAGAATTTCGGAACTCCAGAATCGCAGTATTTCGGAATCTGAAAATTTCGGATCTTCAGAATCTGAGAATCTGAGAATTTCCGAATTTCAGAACTTCAAAATCTCAAAGTTTCAGGACGTCAGAATCTCAGTATTTCGAAATTTCTGAATTTCCAAAAATTACGACAAAAGTTTTTCACTTCTCATTGTCACATTGTTCTTTCTGATTTTAAAAAATCTCGAAATTTCCGGAAAGAAATTTCCGGAAAGCATACAATGGAGAACTGTAAAACATACTTGCAAAATCAGGGCCCGGCGGAGCCGGGTTCTCCAAATTTGAATATTTTTTTGAAATTTCAGTCATTTTTTCAAAATTCATTGTGAAAAAATCATTTTTTATGGACACTTATTTTGAAAATTTTTTTACTTGTCCGAAAGGCTTTCCATTTATTTTTCTATGGACCCCAAAAAATTTTTTGAAAAGACAGGAAAATTTTCTTCTGAAAAGAGACGGGCAGGGCCGGGCCCTGAAAATTCTGAAAAAAGCCCGGCCCGGCCCGTTGCAAGTATGCTGTGAAATATTCTATCAATTTTTCTCAATCGCTTTTTTTTCTCAATTCTATCTCAATCCTTCTGTTTCTCAATATTCCTTCGTTTTTTTCCTCCTAATTTTCCTCTGTTTTTCTTTTTTTTCTCAATTTTCGTGGTAATTGGAATTTTTCTCATTTCTTTTCATAATTTTCTAGATCATTGAATGAAGGAAACAATCACAATTTAGTGATTTACACACAAAAATTCAAAAATCCCAAAAATTGGCCCAAAATGAGCTATTTTCTTTCGAAAATTGATCGCACAAGCAATAAAACATTACAAAAACTATAAAATTAATTTTTTTTCGAATAATTACCACGAAAACTTGAGCAAAAACGATGAAAAACGAAGGAAAACAGAGAAAAATTGGATTTGCGAAAAGCTGTGAATTTTGCGCAATTTTCCCATGGAAGAGAAAACTCCCCAGCTCGGCCACGGCCATGGATTGATTACGTCATCGCTCGCAAATTGTATTTTTGGGATCTTCTCCTTTTTCCTTCGTTTTTCATCGTTTTTGCTCAAATTTTTGTGGTAATTAATCAAAAAAAAATTAATTTTATAATTTTTGCAATGTTTTATTGCCTGTTCAAACAATTTTCGAGATAAAATAGCTTATTTTGGGCTAATTTTTGAGATTTTCGAGTTTTGTTGGTAAATTGCTAATTTGTGATTGTTTCCTTCAATCAATAATTTAGAAAATTGTGAAAAGAAATGAGAAAAATTTCAATTACTACGAAAATTGAGGAAAAAAACGGAAAATTGGGGTAAAAACGAAGGAATAGTGAGAAACAAAGAGAAATGAAATAGAATTGAGAAAAAGTGGTATTGAGGAAAGTATCGGCTGGGTTTTAATCCTAAATTAAGCATTAATAACCTGAGTTTGTAAAACTTGACAAGCTTATTTTACAGTTCTCCATTTTCAAAAAGAACAATGTGACAATGAGAAGTGAAAAATTTCTGTTGTTCTAAATTCCCAGATGCCGAAACACTGAAATTCCAAAGTTCGGCAATTTTTAGATTCTCAGATCCTGAAGTTCCGAAATTCTCAGATTCCGAATTCTGGAACTCCAAAGTTCTGAAATTCTGAAATTTTGAAGTTTTGAAGTCCTGAGATTCTGAAATTCGGAAATTTTTAGATTCTCAGATTTTGAAGTTCCGAAATTTTCAGATTCCTAAATACTGGAATTCCAAAGTTCTGAAATTCTAAGAATTCTGAGATTTTCAAGCTCTGAAATTCAGGAATTCAGAAACTCCCTCAAAAAAAATTGAATTTTTTGCCGCTCTCATAGACATTACTTACAAGTAAACCTTAATTGTCTAGATTTCTGTGAGAGACATCGAAAAACAGTAAACTGACAAAACATTAGTCCTATTCTGAGAAAAACTTTATAAGTTGACAGAATTTTTGAATCTCTTGAAAAAACAGAGACAATTGATGTTATAAGGAAAGCGATAAAGTTTCAGACTACCATAAACACTTGCCCCCGAAAGTGTTAACTTCAGTACACACAATCCAGTACACATATTCCAGACTCTAAAAACCGTAATCCGGAATTTCGGATCCGGAAATTCGGATTCCGGAATCCGGAAATACGGAAATCCGACATCCGGAATACGGTATTCAGTAAACCTGCAGTAGGATCTCAGTGTACGGATGTCAGAATCTCAAAATTCTTAACATTCAGACCTTCAAAAGGTGGCCGCTGAGCTCAAAAACTTCCAAAATCTCACCTTTCAGAGTGGAATTATTCTTTTGTGGATCGGCCAAAACGTGATTTTAGGAATTTTTCCGGTTTCTCGTTTCCGGGTCACGCTGATGGCTCCAAACTTTTTGAACTTAGGTTTTGAAGGGAGACCTTTTTTTCATGTTGACACCTTTTCACGAACTTTGACCTAAATAGGTGTTTCAGTGCAAGCGAAGGGTGGAAGCATAATTTTGTGGAGCACTGTATAATATTTATTATATCAACAGAAATATTTTGTCAGTTGGCCAAATGTTGATATTTTTTACATTAACCGAGATGAATCGGTTCAAAGTGGAAAGATCAGGTCTTATTCTTTTGCAGTGTTAACGGTACGTGTTAACGGAAAAATAACATTTGTGCTGTCCTTTTTTTGAGGATAGAAACTCTTTTTTTCAATAAAGAACTGAAACTACGTTTTCATGAAAAGCCGAAGTCAGCTTATCATTTTCTGAGTTTCACAGCTATTTTTAACTTGGTGAAAAATCTATTATAGTGGAACGGCATGATACTGAACATATCACGAGAGCCGGATTAAGGCGGTGTTCTAAGAAAAAACTTCTGTTTACTAGGAACACGAAGACACGTGTTCTCGGTATGACTATCAGTTCTATACAAAGCTGACGATACAATGGCTTGTTATCACTCAACATCATACACATGTCATAAGGCCTGGTACTTCTTCATTAATTTTGTTTTCGCAAATTCTACTAGGATCTTTGTCTGATGAAGTGAATCACATTTCTCAGTTTTTCCCAATACGGCGAAATATATTAAAGTTGAGCGACTTAAGCTGCTTCTCCCTTTCATCCACTCTTTGAGATCTCCTTAAAACACAAATCACATGAAAATTCTCTTGTTAATCTGTATAAAAGCCTTCCCAACTTGAGACCCATCTAATTTCCCCCTTTTTCTTGCTGAGATAGAATTTTCATTTCCGTTTTTTTTGTATTCTGTAGGCATCATTCTCAAAAACTTAAGATTTATTCATTCATGCTCTATTGACCTTTGTTTTTGTTTGTTTTCATTTTCAGCTGCAAACTAGAGTTTCATACATCCTTTCTCCTCGAGCTTTATATTTAGTTCCTTGTATTTCAAAACACTTAGTTATGCTCCTCCTGACGTTTATATCATTTTCTTTGTTATTATCACCTGTCACGACGATAAAGTTTCCACTTGTCCTAACCCTAAATCCCCTAATCTCCCTGAAAGGAAATGTTTCTATTTTACATTTACTTGACTCATACTTCCCTTGCTAAATCTTGTTTATATTCATTCAAATTGCACCTGTCCCACCTTTTATAGTTTCTGCTCTTGTAACCCTTATTCCCAGAAAACTGCTCCCCAGAAATGGAAGTAATGTTTCTTGGAAAAGTACTTGATCTTCATTTTCCGTGAGATCTCGAAAGAAGAAAAGCGATCGCGAATTTTGTGACCGATGACCGAAGCAAAAGATTATATGGGACAAACAACCGACTTATGTCCATTGACGCACGAAGGGCATAATCGTAGCGAGAGCCGTCATCAGAAGTCACTAGATGAGATATCTCAAAATAGACAATTTTAAGAAGAAGTACGAAGGCCGTATCTTGTGAATGCATGAATAATGAGGACTACAGTAAGATCGGAGGTTAGGACGAGATGCGTGGATGGAAGAAAATTTAAGAAATTAAATTCTGAAATGATTACAAAGATAAGGTTATGGATGACTCACACTTGAAGTTGGTGAAATTAATCAATTTTTTGATAGAATTTGTTTCAATTTTAACGAATTAAGTTACTCAAACAACGCAAAAACAAATACTTCCGATTTCGGAAAATTACGATTTGAAAAATTTTGAAGTTCTTAGTATTCCGAGTGAAATTTTTGTAGTTTCGGAATATTTAAATTTTGGTTTCGAGAATTTTGAAACAATGGAATTCTCCGATTCTGAAAAGCATCGAAATTTGAAGTTTTGAAATTTTTAGACTTCGAAAATCTCGGGACTTCTGAATATTGGTTTTGAAACTTTTGGGATTTCGAAACATTTTGATTTTGAAATTTTTGAAATTCCGAAGTATTTGAATATTTCGACATTTCGGCAAACTCCAATTTTCAGCTTTTCGGAATATCAAAATGTTCGGTTTTTAATAATTGGGAATGTCGAAAATTTCAAGTTTCTGAATTTCGGAATTTCATAAATTTGCGCTCCAGCATATGGCATACCGTAGTCCAATAAGCTTCGGAATCTTATTAATAAAATGGTAAAAGTTTTTGGAATTTTCGTAATTCCAAATTCTGTTCCACACATCTCAGCTTACTGGAAACAACTGAAAGGTGCAGAATTTTTGTTTTACTTCCCCGTGGTTCAAAATTTTGCCATGTCATAAGTTGGCGACCAGTGACTGGTCATTTTTTTCTTTGTCAAATCACAAAAACTGATACATATTATAGATTATTTTCTTTTTCTCCGTCTAACAAGTAGATCAGCTAAGAAGATGCTATATGACATCTTGTCTTATCCACTGTTTTCATCCCACCCCGACAGTCTTTGGCTATCCGAACATTAAGAATAGATAGAGTGAAACGGGAGAAAATAGAACGGGTTTCTTCGCGCGGCGGTGCGCAAAAATGACAGTCGCACTCAGTGTCAGAATCACTTTTGTTTTGAATCCAAACAGAAAGAGATTCATTCCTTTTCTGGGGATTAATTTTTGTATCCTTAATGACTACAATTGGGGTTTTTTTCAACAATACCACCTCCCATCCCGTTATTCCTCGAATTTTTCTTTTCTGACTTTGCTTTTCATTCGGTTACCGGCAATGAAACGGCCGATTTATTTTCTCTTTTTCTCTTGGCCTCTCCTAATTTATAACAGTATTCATCAGTTTTGGCCACGTTTCCCATTTCGATTCTCTATTCAACCGCCCGCACGAAAGACCTCTAAACTTTTCCCGATTGTTTTTCTTCTTCTTCTTCTTACTCCTTTTTCTTGTTCCCATCGTTTACTTCAAGAATTCTATTCATGTTTCAGAATGGCTCGTGGACATCAAAAGGCTCTATCCCAACAGAGGAACGCTGAAAAGACAGCTAAAGCCAAGAAGGCAGTGGTAAGTCCCTTTATTCAAAAGAGCCTTTTATTCCAAAATTGTCTTTTTCTAGGGAAGCGATCAAAAAACCGCAGCGATGAAGTCACTCCATCATAAGTGCACCGTATGCATGGTAAGTAAGGGAAAGTAATTTCCTCTTTTTCTCGGGGCCTATTTCCTGCAATTCACTTTTGATTCACCTTCTTCGCACCCCTCGAAATAAACCTTTCTAGAAGTAACCAGTCACGCCATGTGTGACGACACCAACACGAACTGATTTTGTAGTCTTTTTTCGTTGTTATTCCAGGCCCCGATTTAGAGGTTTTCTAGACATTGTAGTCAGTCTGAGATCGAGAGTCTTTCCTTCCAGTCGTGTCAACAATGACGTCTGAGTGTCTCTGGTTGGGGATAAATTTTACAGCGTGTATACTTTGTACCGAGTCTTGAAAGAACTTGAAAGAAAGAGTACTGTATATAATTTCAGAGCATGATGCCGGATCCAAAAACCTACAAACAACACTTTGAGAGCAAGCATCCAAAGAGTCCCATGCCACCAGAGTTGGAAGGAGTCCAAGCCTGATGCCTCATATACCCCATATGCCAAAAAATTATTCCGAGATAAAAATTATTTCAGAAATAAATTATTACGTATCCTACGAATTCCCGCAATCTCGTGACCACACTTATTAGTACTAATCTAATCTTATTAAATGGCAAAAACTATCCTAGATCGAACAATTTCAATTCAAAACAAGAACTAATCCACTGTACGTCAAAGATAACAAGTTCAAACGATGTTTTCTTTAATCCTGCTCTGTCAAATACCATCCAAAAACGAGACATCTTGAATTATCACAAAACGAGCTCTGAAAGGGATTCTCCTTACAGAAACAATGACAAACTGATTGGATTAGGGCGAAAATCGGTGTTTTTGCTATTCACAAATGTGCGGTCTCTAAATCCTCCCAGAGTACGATGATTGTACTGCGAGTACGTCAATGATCCCTCACTAGATCAAACCATCCAAATTTCGAAAATTACTCATTTCCTGATTCCTGTTACCGTATTCCAATATGAGTCACACCAGGCCCCGTTTTTAGCTCCAATTGGCTCCCAACAAAACCAAGCAGCTGCTCATGACTAATTCACTTCCTTTTCTTTCATCTATCGGACCTTTTTAGAGACTAGATGCTCATAAAAACTAATTATCCGAGGGGGTTCCAGGTTCAACGAAATATGAAATGAGTACGTGCCCCACAATAAAAAATGACATGAATCGGATGAGGATGATATGACATATGTCCCCAATCATCTACGTTTTGTCATCAAACAACACGCAACAATAATCGGCATGCAAAAATTTGCATGGGTCAAAGATTCTATAGAGAAGGACTTTGGACTCTAAAAAGATGAAAAGTTGACTCAACAGGAAAATTCGTCAGATCCGATAGGCTAAAGTTAACGGATAAGCAGTATGGTCTTACAGAAACACATCTCAGATCGGTATTAATCTGAAAAAGCACAGATTTGCATGTAAAAGAGAACTATGAAACCGAAAGTGTATCAGGAAAACAACATGATGTTTTCTTTAATTTGTGGCTGGATTACTGTAGCCAGAAAAGCGGGTTTCTAGTTCGTAAATTCAAAAACTTACAGACTATAAATTTTTAAACTCGAAAACTTCTAACATTTACCTGATAAACGGTTCCATTCAGCTACCACCGAAGAACAATACAGCTCATCCAATGTGAATTTTCTATGATAGCTACAGTAACCCAAAATGACGAGAAATGTAATCTAAGCGGAATTTTTTCTTGGAATACGATACTACTGGCAGCAAAAGCGGGCTAAATTTTGCTGAAAGCGTCATTTTTGAGCATTCAGAGGTTTGTTCCGGTGTCAAGTGCCACGAAAACGTTTCCATATAAATATCAAAGGTCATTTTTTTGCAGCCGCCTCATATCTCCATCAGTGACATTTTTTTTTCTGCTACTAATTTCTAGGATCGTTTTTCTCGAATTTTCTAATAATCAATGCTTGCGAAATTTCAAATTACAAAAAATATTTGAAAATGATTCGGACTCTGGAACGTTCTAGAAATTGAAAAAAATTACCTTTGAAAATCAGAATGCAATTTTTGGTACGGTAACTGATTTTTCTTACTGTAACTGGATTGTCTAGTTAGGCTATTCTCAACCTATCCCAAAGTTTCCATCTAAATCTGGGTTTACAAGATGTTGAGGTTCCTTCTTAGTTTTCTTGGCAGTCCATCTTAGAGCTTTCCGGACCAAATCCTATTACTTTCACAAAGGCCCATTGTTGTCTTTTTTTCATTAGTAAATAGTCAACAGAATTCTAACGTAAGAACTAAATTATGCATGCTTGCGTCAATCGAAACGATAGATGGCATCATGCCTCATTCTAGATTCCACATCGCCTTTCAGATGTTACCTATTGTAAAAACTAGGAAGTGAGTGAAAACCCATCATTTTTATTAAGAAAAAACCCCTTATTTAAAATTCCTCTCAAATATGATTCTACTCTAGAAACCATCATCTGACGTAAGTTGGAAGATCTACACCAATGAGTTGAACTTTTTTCGAAATGAAATAAGAAAACCCACTAAACCGAGGAAAAAATTTCTTCAGAATCATTGGACCTTAGGCGCCATATGGTTGTTTTTTGCCACTATCCTACAAAAATTCGTGTGATCTTTCTACCGGAGTCAAATTTTGCTTCTTGAAGCTCTACAAATCAGGCGCCATATGGTTGTTTTTGGCCAGTGTCATATGTCAAAAATACAAAACTGTCTATGTTGTAGCGGGTGGATTCATGAGATCTTCATAGAAGAGTTGGTGATGCCAGGTGCCATATGGTTGTTTTTAGGCAATGTTAGATACAAACTAGACAGTAGAATCTGCGATCTTTCAATGAAACTACGCCTTCTAGATCGCGTTGTGTCTTCTGGTTTAAGTACAAGTGTAACGAGGAACTAATTCGGAATCTTCTTCGTGAGATTTTTCAAATGAAAAATCTGAAAAACAACGGCTGACGTGGTCGATTTGTATTGGATCCTAGGTCAAAACCATGTTTGCTTACTCATTCCGGCGTCAAAGGACATAGATCCCGACATCGTCACAGATCAAGATTTAGTTCCGCTTCTTATAGATAATGGTCCACTGACGTTACTGTAGATAGTGATAACGAATCAGGTGTTTGCTCACCAAACCGCTGATACCAATTCTGAAGCCTACAAATTATAATAGCAGACACCCCCGTAAATTCATTTTGGGTTTTTTGAGTATTTTGGTCTCCAAAAAAAGAAATTAAGAAATACAAAATCGACACAAGACCCACAATACACAAAATTCGGATACATTTTGAATCAAAACCCAGTTTTATGGTTAATGAGATTTGGAAGATTTCTCTGTTTTGGATTCTCTTCGTGATGTGGGCCTCCTGGTTTTCTAGACTAATTTTATTATAAGGCCTGTTATTCGCTTTTAAAAGAGACTTAAAAAGATCAAACAGCTGTGGGGTACTGTAGATATGTAGCTGATTTTTGACTATTCTAGCCGGCTTGCAGCTGTCGTTTCCTAACTGGTAGGTAATGTCGTGATTAACTTTTTTGGTAGGTGAAAAGGAGCCAAAAAAAAGATCAAACTTCAAGCACATGACTTATTCCAAATTCGAAATTTCTGGAAACCAAGAAACTGGAAGAATAGAGTGTATCCACGACGCAACGTTTATCACCTGGCCGCAAATCTGTAACCCGCAAGATCTAGCCCAATTATTATAGGTACAACTCCCGGAATTCTGTAGAAAATCCATCCCAATAGAATTCTGCAAAGTTTGGTCTATTATATCTCATTGACGTCTGATAGTTGACATCTCATTTCCGAATGGGCACCGTAATTTCCTTTACGTCCAATATTAATTTCCTCTGACTCCTGATGCTAGTGTAGTTATCGTGACCAATAGAGACAATGGATAGGCAAGAGGAAAAGGAAAACATTCGCAACATCACCTAGGATTAGAAGGTGTCGAGATTTCAATTTCCGATCACAGGGGGAAACTCTGGCCGATGACCGGTGAGCCTCACGTGAGGTGTTTTGCAAAAACTTCTCACGTCAGCCGTAGCAAAAAAAATCAGATGACAGTTGAATCCGATTCTTGCAAGTTGGAAGAGGAAATGAAATCGGTGACGCAGATCCATCTGGAAACGTTTGGAGTATAGTTGGAGTAGTTGGATACCAGTAAATGAGTCATTGGTGAAAATTTCCAGAGCGCACCGATTCAACATAATCTTGGGAAAGTTCATAGCTTTTGAAGCTGTATTATAACTTGGAACGCACGTGAGGTCCAAACTTTAAAAATTTAATTCTCGAACTAAAAATACCAAATTCTGTTACTGATTTCATTTGTCAAGAATACAGAAATTATCTTGAGAATCAAACTTTTAAGCTGACATCTAAACCACATTTATGTGACTAGATCAGGAACATGGAAAAATTCCAAGAACTTTTTCGATTGGTATTCAGAGAAAGTTTACTGATTTTATTTTGTTTACCAACCCGAAAACTTTTCTAAAAATTTTTAAAAACTTTCAAAAGTTGGTATCTAGACGTTTTGCCCGGAAATGCCAAAAAATCCTGTTCTAACAATCAGGGCCCCTTGAAGTGAACTCATGCTACAGTAATCTGAATCAGTTGAACAAAAACTGTTCACTTGATCTTTTTATGAGAAATGATCTAACCGATCTTGTTCTCTTCTGCATTTCCCCATTACAAGACATTGATGGCCAGTTCAACGATGAGATTGAATGATGGGAATGTAGCTTGAGGGCTACAGTATGCCCGCTTGAAAAGGAAATCTGAGTGAAGATGAAGAAGAAGAAGGATTTCTTTGAAGCGATACCGGTCACTATTTACAATTCGTTTACAAAAATTCCACCGACTTGAATTCCGTCTTATCTTGGTCACAAACACATTGTTTACTTTCTTTACATTTGCAACACTTTCTTCTTGCCCAAACTCGCAATGAGATGTAAGGACTCATCGTACTCGAACAGTTCCGCTCTTCTATTCTAGAAATGTTTCAGTACGCGCGCTACTTAATTTTTGAGACTGACGTCTGTTGGCATTTATGTATTCTGAATGATTCCTAATCTATCGATCTATGTTTCTTCTCCATTTCTAAAATTGATATTTGTGCTACCATAATCCTCATGTATCTAGAATGATCCCATAGAAGCTTCTGTAAGGTTCTTAACGGTGACTTTATTTATCAGCATGTGGTCTAAAATGTTCGAGCTAATAATTCATCTCAATTCGTTTAGTACTTCAGAAGATCTTAGAAAATCCTCCAGAATCCTTCTGAAGTCCTTAACATTGACTTAAAGCATCAGCCATGTGGTCTAAACCCTTCAATTCGTTCTAATACCTGTTCTTGGGTTTTTTTTAAGTATTATCTCTAGTATTATCCCAGGCTCATCTTTTGGTTTTTCCGTTGTTTATCGTGTATTCCATAGACATCATATATCACCGAAGCTCAAAATAGACTGAATCATTGAATTTGGTGTTTCTACCCCCGTAGTAAACAATACCCAGTCAACAACTGTCTGAAAAGTCTAGAATAGACTCGTGTAATGATGACTTTTTGGGTCTGAAAGAGATAAGACCGGTAACCTACGTATGTGGCGAAATCGACAGTTTTCAAGAAATGATGATGATCAAAAATTATTTTATTCTTCTTGACAGTTTGTTTTGTTTGTTCGGTTTTCTGAAAAGAGATACCGCAACTTAACATTTGGAGGGCGCGGCTTCTTTTCAAGCAACATATTCAGTGGGCCCCAAAAATTTTAAAAGGGCCCTGGTTTTTAAGTGTTAGGCATTCGAAGAAACAAGAAGGTGGGTGGGAATAGCCGGAAGTTGTTTCCTTTTTTTGCTTAAGCGGAATAAATTAGCAAAAACCAGCACTCTAAACAATAGTCTTCCATTGTTACAACTTTATGGACCTCTTTCTCCTTCCAGTGACCCTAAAATTTTGTTTGTTTGGCCGATATCAGCTCTAAACTCTAAACATTTTGCCAAACATCACCTTGGTGCCAAACAGTAAGAAAGTCGTTATGATAAGGAAATGTTTGCGCGGCGCGTACTTCCGCTTGATTAGTAGTTTCAATGACAAACGATCAAGAGGAGGCATTCCCCATTTTTCAATAACAAAAGTCTTGCACTTAGGTCGGAGGGACGGAAAAACCTAATTAATTTATGTGGAGCATCATGATGTGGATCACCATTTCAGCACATGATCTGCTGACTCGAGTCAAATATTAGAAATTCAGTGGTCCCAACGGCCTGATCTACTTTTTTCTTTTTTCAAGATCTTCTTTATAGGTGACGTGACTTGCTTCAAATGTCGCATGTCTGGGGTCGAAGGTCCCAAAGTTTGAAATAAATGCGAAGTGTCATTATACGATTTCACTTACATTTAGCCAAGTGACAAAAAGCTGAAGCAAAGAGATATTTACCTCCTGCAAAGATAGATTTTGAACGACGTTAAAAATAATTTCAAAGAGCTGAAATCCTAGGATGAGTGTTTGCAGGCAGTATACTGTAATAGGTATTATTGACTACTAACACGAGAACCTAAACACCTTGTAAACCCAGATTTTTTGAAATTTTCAGAACATGAAATTTCAGAACAGATTAGCCTATCTAGACACTTCTGCAAATTTTGTAAGCCGCTGCCAGTTTCAGCCGGGTTATATCAATTTCAGTACCGAAATTCGTGTTTCAACGCAAAAATAGTGATTTTCAATGCCGATTTGCTTAGTTTCTAGGTCGTTTCGGAACACGAAATGTTTTGTACCTTACTGAGAACTAAATAAAAATTCATATTTCAAACATTTTTTTCGAAATTTTTTTCGAATAAATCCAAGAAATAGAATAAATTCGAAAATTTGAAAAAAATAGAAAATATTTAATGTCCTAAAATGTCCTAGAAGTTGTGGAAAGTGTCTCAAAATTCCTAGTTTTGTACCGAACACGCGATCAACGGTATTGAAACGGATGGCCGGTGGGTTTATAAGTTTGTCGAACAAACTTTGAAGCTTTTCAAAGTGTCTAGTTTTGCTGTTCTTAACTTTTCCTAAGATTTCCACTAAAATCTCTCGACTAGAGTTTGCAGATAGTATACTGTAATAAGTGTTCTCTAAAGAACTACTCAAGTCAAAACAATGAAATCATTCTAGTGCAGCTCTTCGCTTTGTAGCATATTTCAAATTATAGTTGAACCTTTCCAATAGATTTTTTATGGTGTGTCAGACGATTCCTCATTTTGCGTCAGCGCCAATTGTATTCATTAGAAAAAACAAGGCTGGTGAAATACAAATCTGACAATTCAGGCTGCCGACTGGTTCTGAAAATGATGTCACCCACCTCTACCGCTCCCAATAAAAAACACAACTATCTGAAATCCATCTGATTTGTCATTGGAATTGAGTCCAGAACATTTGGTGTACCATGACAAATTATTGAACTTCCAAAAGGTTTTGTTGTTTGGACATTTCACACTTTTTGAAAAACATTTTCAAACGTTTCGAAAAATTGAAATATCAAGTCACAAACTTCACATCATTCTCTTCTTAATAATACCTTGAAACATAAGTTTTGGAGACCTTTCTCGATGAAGAAAAATGATCATAAACAATTCCAGGAATTTAAAGCTCAACATCATTCAGAAAAACTCGCACTTTTCAAAATTTCAAGTTTACAACAGCAAAGAATCAAATTTGATCCGGTAAACAACATTTTCCACTGTCTAGACAATACAAATAACTGGACTAAATGAAAAAAAAATGTCTCGTGCTAAGAGCTCGCGAAATTCTCAATTACTATTTTGTGGGGGGAACAAGAACCTTTATTGGAATGAACAAAAAAATTTGCTTCCCATTTTTTAGATGAAGGTCAAAACGTTTTTTTGCTCATCAGACGCACTGATTTTAAAAAATAAGTCTCTTGGAGGGTCCGGTTGAGTAGTTTCACACGGCTGGGCAACCGCTTTTGTGTTCCAGCTTTTTCCAGACTTCCCATAGAGGTCACTCAGACTCTAGCATAAACATGGCGTCATATTTCATAGGTCGAGATTTTTTTCCTACTCATTGGCTATTTTTCAAAGAATTTTCCAGTTTTATAGGGTCATCAAGTCATTTTTGTCACAAAATCTGCCTACTTAAAAATGTTCGTAACGAAAATATCTCCAGACGAAATGAATGATCGAGATATAATTATTCTGGAAACGAAAATTTCACCAGTTCCGTATTCTAAGGTCATTCTCAAACATTTTGGAGCTATGTGAGATTGCTCCTGTTTTCCCAAATTTGTTTGAAAAAAATGTTACTGTATACCACATTTTCTACTAGAAGCTCACGGTATACAAGCACTTTACGCTCAATTATCTTGGTTCCTTCAAAAGACATTAAAACCTTGCCAATTGATAAAATGTTACTGATGTTATGATAAAAATTTTATAAGTTATCAAACTTCTAATATCTTTTGGAGGAATCGAGATAGTTGAGCTCAAAATGCACGTATCAGGTGCCCTTCTATGAGCAAAAAGACGGTATGCACCATAGTTCGGACCAAGAACACAATTTGGTTTTCTGGTGATCAAAAACCTCGAAATTTTGAACATGTTCGATTCCAAAAATTTTGGATTGCGTTAAAATCTGGAATAATTTTCTCCGAAGCTTTCTGATGGATATTATCCTCATCTACTCATCCTGAATATCATCCTTCTCCATTTTTCCCATTATCCACAGTATCCTTCTTCTAGTCTTCCTTGACCGATTTTTGAACTTTTCATTTTTTCTTTTTTCCATATACACACATACACCAGAAGCTCGGAAGCTCCGCCCCCCCCCCTTTGCGAAACTGATGTTTTCTCATTCTCTCATTCCTCGCGACTCCGCCCATGAGCCTACGAGTTAGGGTAAAAGTGGGCGGAGTTTAGTTTTCTGAATCCAACCATATAAAAGACCTCTTTTTCGGTTCAAAAATTTCAGTCATCCAGTCAGCTCGCCCCCCCCCCCCCATCTTCCCCTTCTCCTGATCCCTCCTCCACCTCTTCGAGCTTCCTCTTCTCCTCTTCGATCTTCATCACCTCCCAATCCAACACTTTGGACTCCAAGGTTAGTAAAGGGCTTTCAGAATATCCATCCCCTCTCAGAATCTTCTTTAAGCACCTTTATTTATTCTTCTCAGATACTCTTGTGAGTTTTTAGGTACACTTAGGGCTGCTTCGATTTCCCATCTAGTCATATCAGTAGGTTCCTTGGGAAAATCAACGCGCTCTATGATCTCGCGTTCTGGAAAGTAATGACTAAAATAAGTTCGAACAACGATCGATGCTACAATGCTACAAATAGCTGCCTGCCAGACTGAGCGCCTACCAGTTTTTGGTATACGGTTTCACCTGTCTTCTGCAACATATTGAAAAGATTAGTCTAGTGCTGAGTCAGTGGCGCAGCTGCTCAGAGTCTTTAACTGGCTAGCGTTTGATAGGATACTAAGAGTGTCTTTGCTGAATTGACGAACAAGTCATAGAACTAACAGTACCAGCTAAAAGCCATTCTAGGTTCTTACTTCAGTCAGGTCCGAGTATGTATCAAAACTAGACATTCAATTTTTGAAGTAGCTGTAGAAACTCAAAAAAATTAAGTATCCAACTAATTTGAGGTTTTCTCCTTTTATTTCATTACTATAGGCAATACAGGCTTGAGTTCTAGCTACCCAGGAACAAGTTGGCTTTAGGCACGATCCCGCCGATTAGACAACCCCCTTTCTATCCAGAATGCCTTCCGCCCTGATGCTCCTCATCTTCTTCGCCACCATCATCGTCGTTACCGCCCATGTACACTTCGACCGAGAGTCGGAGTACGACAACTTCATGAGGATCATCGCGGACCAGAAGTGAGTTGAACTTGTTGCGTTTTTTTCACAATTTGCTTTTTTTTTCAGCCAGAAAGATGAAAAGGAAAGGCTGCGCAAGTACATCTTCAAGCCGAACAAGCCAGATCCCCGCTACCACTCTGACCGGCACGGACGTCACTTCATCACGTGCTACTCGTTCAACACCACGTTGAACGAGAAGGGAATCAACCGCCGTTGCTACCGTCGGAGTGCCAATCTTCATGCCGTCTGCCACTTCACCGTCGACTACTCGGGACAAAACTATGCCCAGGACTGCTTTGATATGCCCGTGGAGAGCGACGACGTCTGCACTGAGAAGTGCAACGTCGTCCGGAAGGTGACCCCATACGAGGGAAACCCAGGATTGTTCAAGGCAGTTGGCCACTGTTGCTGCACAACCGACAATTGCAACAGGGATGAGAAGGTAAAAACTATTAAAGAGTTCCAATCTTAACATTGTTTTCAGACTATTCTGAAGGAGGAACTCCAACGCCGCGGAAAATGGCCAATCAACTGGGCCGACTACACCACTCATGCCCCATCTCTTGCACTCAAGGAAATCCAAGCCCAATCCGATGCCATTGCTGATGCCGAAGCCGAGATCGCCGCCGAACCAGAGAGCCGCTCCAACTTCATGTCCAGCTTCAACTTCCTCTAATTTAGCCGCAGATTCCGTTCCCGATTCCCGATTCCTGATTGCCGCTTCCTGATTCCCGATTGTCTCAATTCTCCTCGATTTTCTCCTAATACTTTTCCGATAACCCTCTTGATTGATTCCATTGCCCTCCGACCACCTCCACCACTCCCCATTGTTCCACTTACTCCGATCTGATTAGTTAAAACGTTTCATTTAATCTAGCTTGGTTTTGATTTTCTTGTCCACCCACAACCTCCCTCTACATTCCTCTCTCTACATGATATCGCTCTCCAGTAAGTCTGATTTTCTGATACTCCCTGTTTTTTCATCAACACCATTCCTAATTTTGTTCGCATCTAATTGATTCAGTTCAGCCCACCTCTTTTACTTTATCATTCCCATGTTCATTGTACTCTATCAGCCCATTTTATTTTTCTCAGCTCCGCCCTCCCCCCCCCCCCCCAAACAGTCTCTTCTCTCCCGATAGTTGTACCTTCAACCCCGTATTGATTCTCATCCTCCATCTCTCTCCACCTCTGATCTTTTGTCCCTTTTTCATGCCGTTGAATAAAGTTCAAGACTGTTAAAATCGAACATCTTTTGCATTCAACAAACAGTTTCGAACTTTATTCTTCATCAGTTACTGCATCTTCTGCTTCCTATTGTCCTTTCCACAAGAAAGAACATATGGAAGCTTTCAGGCGTGGTAAAATATCTTCACCTACCCTCATTCCCTCTTCTCTCAATTGTTACAACCTCTAACTTCTGATATCATGAGATATATCACTACTGTTGAACACTACTTCTCATTTGACTTCATTCCTCTTTCTTCCTCATTCCGAACCCTCATTTCGACCCCTCATTCCGACCCCTCACTCTAACTTCTCTCCAATTTTCTTTTGTTCTCGATACTGCATTAACTTTTTCCTCACCGACAATAGTTGAGTTTTTGAAATGTTATGTATCTTTATTTATTTCAATAAATATGAGCAAAAGAAATACTATTGTTATCTTATTTCAGGTTTTTCAGATTTTCAGGTTTATGATATATTTTCACGATCGTTCGTTGAGTCCTTCCGTATTCTTCATTGAGTTTCTTGTATCATATTTGAATCTTTCCGTATTCTTCGTGGAATCCTTCCGTGTTACTGACATGTCTCATTCGAACCACTGACAGATTAATTCAAAGAAAAAACTTGTTTCCAGTTTTCGTCTTTTGTTCTATTTATAGACAAGTGACAAAACGCTGAGTAATATATTCTGGGATAATCATGAAAGTTAGCAGACAATTAGTGAATTACCGGAAACACTATAGTAGAAAACTACCATAAACTTAGTGCTTAATTATCTCAATTTTCATAAGAGATATCCAAAATGTGTCAACTGATAAAATGTTGGTGATATTACGAGAAGCATTTTATCAGTTGACAGATTTTTGTTAGCTCTTATTGAAAACAACACGATTCAGCTCAGAGGTTTTTTGGAGAAATATGTTGATTGCTTGTGTTTATGAAATTGATTTTTTGAAAGTTTTTTTTGAAAGTGAGCTGTTATTTGACAAAATTCTTCTCGTTGACTGTAAAAGACATCAAATTGTTTCTAAAAATAATTTATTTTGTTAATATTATGGTGAATATTTCATTAATGGAACAGTTTTTTGACCACTTTTGGTTAGTGCAAAAATCTATCAGGGGTTTGCAAAAGTAATGCGCGTTTTTGATGCAACTTCCTTTTATTGTAAAACCAAAACAAGAGATCATCAATCAATAAGATATTCTCCATTATTATTCACTACTTGCTGCCAGCGATGCCTTTCTTGAAAAACTCCTATGGCTGTGACTCGAAATAGTCCGCCACCCAAATTTGCACTTCTTCACCGCTTTCGAATTTTTTCTCGGCCAGTTGATGTTGCATTCATCGGAATAGGTGATAGTCCGATGGTGCCAAATCGGGACTATATGGCGGATGAGGCAGCACTTCCCAGCCCAGCTCCTGAGTTTTCTGCTGAATGATTTTTGCAGTGGGTCTCGCCAGGACTCAGCCACTGTTTTTTCCTCCCATTATTGTCCCACTGAATCCATTTCTCATCCGAAAATCGAATCGAAGAAACCACGATTTTTGGAGCGGCGCATCAGAATATTGGCAACTTCAACACGTCTTTCCTTGTTCGAATCGGAAAGCTCATGAGGGACCCATTTTCCACATCTGTTTGTCTTTCCGATTGCATGCAAATGTCTGGAAATTGTGGAAAAATTGCAGTCGAACTGCTCCGAGAGACTGAGAGTAGTTTGGCAAGGATCCACTTCAATTGCTGCTCTCAAGGCATCGTTGTCCACCTGCTCTGGACGACCAGGGCGCGATACATCTTCCAATCTTTCATCTCCGCTACTGAAGCGCTGAAACCAGCGGTGACACTGACTTTTGGATAGAGCTTCTTCACCGAATACAGAAGAAAGTGAGCGGTGAGCTTCGGCAGCCGATTTTCCTTCCTTAAATTGGTGCCACAAAAATGCTCGAAGGCGAAATTTTTGGTCGGACATCTTCTAGAATGTTTTTTTTATAGAAATCAAATTGAAACAGCAATATAATATAACAAAATGAATCCCAAGAACGCGCTTTTCAAAACAAAAAAAAATTGAACACAAACTGCTTGTTTTGGGTGAGATACAAAACACCAAACTTGACGCGCATTACTTTTGCAAACCCCTAATAGCATCTCGTAAAATTCCAATTCAAAAATCAGTGATTCACATTTTCCGAACACATTTCCAATTTTCAAGGATAAATAATAATGATTCCAACGTCATAATTTTACAGTTTTCTGAATGCATTGAAAGATTTCCTAATGATTGATAGATGACCTCCTTCAATTATTACTACTTCTGAAAGAGATATCACAAATCTGTAAACTGATAAAGTTATTGTCATAACATTAGCAAATTTTTCATAGTTGGCAAATTGTTGATATCTTTTAAGAAATTCAGATACCGTAATCACTCCAAAAGAATGCCTTTTTGAACTGTCCACTTTGCGCCCATATATCCCATTTCCGGTACGAATTATCAAAAAGTAATCAACTAACAAAATGGTTATTATAACAGTAGTAATATTTCGTTAGTTGATTCCTTTTGGATATCTTTCACTGGAACCGAGATAAATTTACTCAAAGTGCAAGTATAGGGTGGCCCTCTATACGAGTGTTTACAGTAAATGAGCTGTGTGCAGATCTTGAGTGGCGTTCTATGAGCATTTACAATAAATGAACTTTCTGAAACTTTAAATTTGCAACTATTTGCTTAAGAGTGATCTAACACTTCACATATTTTGAAAATTCAGATTTTTGGTTCTCTTCTCCGATCTCCAAGAAAACAACGTTCATTCTTGGAATTTCACACTCAAACTGGCGAATTTCATTCATTCTTTTGTTGAAGAAAATATTTTTAACCTGGTCAATTTTCAAATTCTAAGTGTTAGAATTATGATGTTTGTTTCTAAAACCACAGTAATTCTCTTTGAATATCAAACTTTTACTAGTATTCATAAGCACTAGTTTCTGGTTTATAAATACATTTTTGCTTAAATGAATTGAATGCTTTCTTAAAAAATATGTGGTTTGTGTGGATTTGACTTGTTAGCTTCTTCCTTTTCTTTTTTTCAAATCAGGATCTCAGGAAACACTATATATGAATCATATACAAATTTCATGGGTATTTTGTGCTACCTTCTGCCTTCTGATTTCTCAGAACAACGATCACAGTGTGTACAGGTGGTCTATCAAATTATCATAAAGTTCACCACACCGAGTACATTCGTTGTTTTTTGTGTTGGGTGTTTGGTAAATGTGCTCATGTTTCTTCTTGATGTTTCACTTTGGTCCTAGTTTTTTCTCCTTGGTAGTCTAAAAAAAACAACATTGTCCGTGTGTGAGAACTTGATTATCAACTTCGGCAACAGTTTTGCACCTGCTCACATTCACAAACTCCAAAAAAAACTTGGTCTTTGGAATAAGTGAATCAGCTAGTGTGCTAGCAATTAAAAAACTTTAGGGCAAAAATGTTGCCAAAGAGATCTTTTTACTATTATGGACATAAAAGGCCAATTGTCTGCTCTAAATATATTTTAATTGCACATAATTAAACGTTGTGGGCTTTTTCGTATGTGTTTCGACTTCTTGATAATCGATGATCATGGATCTCAAAATGGAAGGGATCTCTGGGACGAAAAGTATTGTTTCACTGTTTTTGTATCATGTTTTCCAGACATTTTTTGTTCTAATCCAGGTGATTAGACATTCTTCGGATTGGAAGTCAAACGTAAATGCCGACTCCATTTTTAGGTGTCAGATGTTTTCCAGGGAGTGTTTTCTAAACTCTGCCCACCTTGTCTAGACAGATTTAACAGACTCGTCGACTCTCTGAATGGGATCTCTGAAGACAAGTCTTTCGAATTGAAAAAAAAACGTCTGGGATGTTGTGGAGCATAGATTAGAGCATACACAAAGCATGAAACAGCTTTTCCTGTCAAAATATGCCGGAAGTTTGTTTGCGGGACGTTGGTCAAAAGCATAATTAAAAAACTTTTTTTGGTGGAAAAATAGGAACAAATGCGGAAGGCCGGGACATAAAAAGAAGGGAACCTGAAAAGTGACGTATGTTTGGTTCTTGCATTCTTGCTTTTTCGAGGGGTCGAAAAACTCATTAGCTGAATTATTCAGGTTTAGTTCTATCTTTGTGTGAGCAATGTATTTATTTCGAAAAAAACAGATGCACAAGACAACAAGCATTGGGGTCAAAAGATGGGGATTCTGAAAGCTTTGAAGTTGAACCGGACTATGAAGTACGTCTGAGAGTTATTTATATTCAGAAAAAAAAATTTTAAAATGGTTTTTGTTTAATTCCAAACATACTGTATTTTCGTTGGTCAAGTATGCAGACCTAGATTTCTCCTGTGGACAATATCTCAGAAATTCGTTTTCTTTACAAATAAACCCAGACTTTGTCAACCCAGATTTACATAAAAACTTCAGAATATTTCGAGAATAGCTAAACAGACACTTCTGGAAGTATTAGAATCCGCTTGCCAATTTTAGCGGAGTCATATCAGTTTCAGTACCAAAAATCGCGTTTTCAATTCACCAACACTGATTTGAAGGCCATTTTCTCAGCTTCTAGGACGTTCTATTCTTTTCAATATTTTTCTGGGGTCGATAAGACTAACAAAACATATTTCGGTAATTTAAAAGCTTTCCAAAATCGGAGTGTCATTAATCATTGTTTTTTACAAAAAGACTTGGGAAAACTTTTGAAGAAGGGATACTTTTCACCACCAATAGCTCAGAAAAACCAAGATGATACTTTGGGTACTTCACTTGCCGTTTAAAACTTTGGTTTTTCATTGTCCTAGACGAATTTATTTATTTATTTATTTCAACGAAAGGGAGAAAACCACCAACACGTGAAATGTCTATGAAACTAGGAGATATAACAGGGACAAACATTTGTATTAAATGGGAGATGGAGGAAAAACCGAGTTAGTAATTAGTTGAATTCAAGACAAGAAAATGTTTTAGATCACAGGATAATAGTCGATTTTTGAAAGCCGCTGACTGAAAGCCGATGACTGAATTGCAATAAAAAGTTGATGGACACTAACTTGTTCAAGAATTGTTTGTGTTTTTCTGAATGATATCAAGTTTTAAATTCTTAGAAACTGTTTATGATCATTTTTCTTTCTCAAGAAAGGTCTCCAGATAAACTTTAGATCGTTTTTTATAAAACTCTTGAAAATTTGCTGAGAACTTATGTTTTAAGGTATTATTGGGCAGAAAATGATGTGAAGTTTCTGACTTGACATTTGAATTTTTCAATAAGTTTGAAAATGTTTTTCAAAATGTGTGAAATGCCAAAACAACAAAACCCGTCAAAAGTTTAATAATTTGTCATGTTACACCAAATGTTCTGGACTCAATTCCAATAACAAATCGGTGGGATTTTAGAAACGTGTATTTTTATTGAGAGTGGTAGAAGTGTGTAACATCATTTTCAGCACCAGCCGGTAGCCTGAATTGTCAGATTTGTATTTCAGCAGCCTGTTTTCTAATGAATACAATCGCGAAATGAGGAACCGTCTGACACATATTGAAAAAAAATGTTGGAAATGTTCCACTAGAAATTGAAAATTGAGACAAAAAAATGAGCTTCAGAATGATTTCATTGTTTTGATTCACAAGCAGACCTCAACAACTTGTAAACACCAAATTTCAATGTGAATCTCATGATAGGTCAAGAACAGTTTATCTAGACACTTCTAAAAAGTTCAGAGACCGCTCGCCAGTTTCAGTCGAGTTTTACCAGTTTCAGTGCAAAATCACCACTTTTTTAAAGACAATTATCTCAGCTTCTAAATGTAAGACGCGTCAGAACATGACATTTGTAATGTTTTGCCTAGAATTGAATGAAATTTTGTAACTCGGACATTTTTTTATTGAATTTGTTTTTCAATTTTTCCATCACTTGAGTTTATTTAAAAATAAGAGATATCTGAAATATGAAATTTTATTGGGCTCTGATCATAACACAACAACTTTTATCTTCTTAAACGTCATAGAAGTTGAGGAAATCGTCTTTTGAAATCACAAGTTTGGGTACTGAAACCAGTATAACCTGGCTGAATCTGAACCAAAATCTGGGTTTACAAGGTGTCAAGGTGTCAGGTGTTGAGTCATTTTTGCCCATTTTTCTATTAATTATGCAGAAAGTTTCAACAATCCGATCATCAATCTCTATCCGACACAGAATAATCACCGAGACCGAGTTCGAAGATCGAGCTCATTTCTGCAGCAGAAGAAATTGCAAAAAATCACGTTTTTCCCGTGGTCAAGAATTAACGGACCACTCACTATTTGTTGTAAAAAAAGGAGATATGGAACATGAGCAGTTGGTTAAGGAGAAAAAAGGGGTCGGGGACTTTGTTTTGGAAATTTTTTCAAATAATTAGGTTTTATTGTCATCTTAATTTAAACATCGGTAATTAACCAATCATAATTTAGACTTTTTGGTATCAAGTTTTAGGCCTTTTTCAACGAATTTTGAGGGACTGAAATGCCAAAACAAAATTTTGAAACTGTAAATGTAGTCGAAATCCATTTCAAACGGGAATCTTAAAAAACAACTGAATTTGATTCTGATTTTTCAAATTTCCAGATTGTTAAAATTCTTTCTATTAGGGTGTTTCATAAAAAATTTCGTTTTTTGGTACCACTCTTTGAACAAAGATAACTTCAGCGAAACTCATGTTCATTAAACAAACTATGCATCATTCGAATTTGTAGTTTTTTGCCTACAATATGCGTTTTTGAAAATTACATGATGATAGAAACCAGAGAGCCAGGAAGTGACGAAACCTTGGACATCCTTTTTTGCATAGGCTATTTTAAAGGTGGGGGGACATGAAAAAAAATAATGTTCTCGAAATTTCGTTTAAATATGCCCCTCGAGGAGTTGAACTTGTTGGGGCGATGATTGAGGGTACGGCGCCGCTACCGACTGAGCTACACGGGCAAAGAGAAAGCGGCCGCCCGATTGCATACATAAAGGCGAGGACGACAGCTGTACGCAGAGTGACATTAAGCGTTGTACACCGTCACGGTAGAATGCATATTCTGGCCTCAAAAATCCCCTGTAAAATCTCCTGTCCCCCCACCTTTAATGTACTGGTTCTCTTCGGTGAGGTTATCAAGATGTTTGAGAAAACGGTAATCAATTAAGACGATGTCGGCAAGTATGGTGGATAACTGATGATTTTGTAACCCAACAAATTCAGTTTTTGAGTCGCAATGATTGCAACATGTGAAATGGAGTTGTTGTCGAGTAGGATTGTGCCATATTTTTTGACTAGTGCCGGAATTTGGATAACACATTTTTTTCTGTTTTTTGACAATTGTAAACCGTAGTGTTAGTTTTTCATTTTTTCAGGACGTTGTAATGAATAAAACCAATTTTGTTGTAGTAAAAAGCCAATTCTTCGTCATACGCCACAATTCGATTCAAAAAATGATCATTTTTCTATCATATGAGATGATTTCACAAACTAAAGAAATGTTGCCATTTTTGACGATGGTTCAGTTCATGAGAAACCCATTTATCTAGTTTTTTTTTGTATTCTCCATTTTTATATATGTCTCGAAATTGTTCCAATGCTGACTTCAAGCGCTGCTGAATGTTCCCGGACAGTCAATCTCGGATCCCCTTCCACCACTCTTCAGAATTCCTTCCACGATACTTTTTTTCTTCGAGAAGTGTATTTCCACATGTGAATTTTGTGAACCATCGCTGTACTCTTTTTTTTGTTAGCACTTTTTTCTGCGAAAACACGGTTAATATTTTCGGTTGTCTCGGTTGCATTTCGGTTGAGCACGTATTCGTATTAAAAAGTAGCGAAAAATCCCTTCTTTTCTATGATTTCTCCTCGATGAACCTAGAACATTATGAAACATGTTAGGTAAGAATTTTGGACGACTTGATTAGATGTGTGAGAAACAAAAAAAATTGATATTAGAACGAGCCATCGCAGAGAAAACTGCGCTCGAAAAAAAACGACATTATTTATGGAACACCCTAATATCATTCCAAGTTACTTCGGAAAACCCTTTTATCATGTGGGGTGTCAGTGAGTTTTACGATTTCAGAAATTCAGAATATTTCAGCTTTCGAGGTTTTCGAAATACAATGCAAAATCAAGAAGTCCCGTTTATGTTTTCGATAAAAACCATATTATTTTTCTTTCCCACTCTTCCAGTAAATTAGTGATCGCTATCAACCGCCCACGTAATCATTGGCCATAGAAAATGTTCGCAAATATTTCTTCGAACGCATCGTACTTTATTTCCAAACATGTTAGCTATTGGAATAATCCAAAGCTCCAGACAGAAAATAAGCTAATAGGTTAGGACGGACAGGTGACAGACAAAATATATATCATACGAACTTGAATCACGTCATTCCTTAGTCAGTGAGACAGTTGATTTAAAGAACGGAAGTGAATAAGGAACAAATATAAAACATGACGATTGGAATTGGGTGGAGAGGATGATTAATAGAAATGACGGTGGTGGTGGAATTCAAAAAAGGAATATATTAGAATTGTACACTCTGAAAGATGGTGGATCTGATTTTTCTTATTCCTCGTTGGTGCGCTTGACAGATTGAACTCTCTTCAAGATGCTGCTCATTTGCTTCTTGAACTCCTCGTCTTCCGATTGGTTTTGGGACATGCGCTGGAAAATTGAATTTTTATCAATTTTGGACTTTTCTTATTTTGATATATCGCTCTTATTTATTGTTTTTGTTGCTCTTTGAAGTTTCTACTTGTTGTTATTCATAATTCATTTTGTACTTGGGGCGACTTCTAGCCTTTGTAGTAGAAAAATACATATAAACACTGGTGTTTGGACTTTTAAATAGAATTTAGGACCCTACCTCATGGAAGCTACGACGTCTCTTCTCACGCTCCTCCTTTTGTTGCTTCAACGTCTCCATCATTCTGTCGTTGTGAGCCTTCAGACGCTCCTCCATCTTAGACATGTAGTCGTTAAGATGATCAAGTTGAGTGTCAAGCTTGCGGATCTCTAAAAATATTCAGATGTTTTTATTATAATTAGTTGACACTGACCCTCAGTCTCCTCGGTCACTTCTCCTTCATTCAGCGCTTCGATTCCACGTGCCAGTGCAGAGTGGGCAGCGGCGTTGACGTTGCGCTCACGCATCTTAACAATAGGCTCTTGCTCTTTCTGCTCAACAACCATTGTTCGTGAGAGATGCTGAAATACGAAAATGAGTTACAGTAGAGGGCATTGACGTTTGAATAAATAAAAAGTGCGAAGATCGTGAGACTGGAAGAAAGAAAGGAATGAAAAATGGAATAAACGATCAAGTGAGAAAAAGAAAAAAGGGACCAGAATTTTTTTTCGAACGAATGATAGAGGACGGTAAAAGGTAGGACACTGAACGCTTCTCTTTTTTTTGGGATGCCAAAAGCCGGTTGGTAGAGAGGAGGAAAGACACAGAGTGCGACGCCTAAGAAATTTGTTATCTTTTCGAATTAGAGAGTCAACGTAAATGCCACACAATTCTCCTCACTTTTGATTAAAAGACTAGTGAAGAAGGGGTGAACTGTTTGGGGGTGTGGAGGCTTTTTTCTCCTTCCTCGAAAATCAAATAAGATTTTTAGTTATGAAAAAGTTAAGGTTAAAAGTATCAACATTCAAACCTCCTTACTTCCCACTTACCAGTGTGAGTCAGAATAGACCGGTAGAACTGGGAGGAAAAGGGGACTATAAGAATAAAAAACATTCAACAAATACCTGGAGAACGCCCCACACAGTTGGTTCGGGGCGAGATGACTAACTAAACAGTATGAACAATTAGATCTGAAAGTGGGCAAAAATGAGAAGTGGAAGGGGGTGGAAAACGAAGAGAGGAAGGGATGGTGGTGAAATCGTATAGTTTTGGTTGAAAAGTGGAAAGAGGGAAGGAGACATACGATTTGAAAAAGGCGGGTATCACCATCATACAGTTTATCAGCTCAATTACACTGTGCCGATTTAAGATAAGGCGTGGTTGTGTCCCCTCTCTGTACTAAACTGACCTGCGTGCTGTACTGCTTTTATAACCCTTTTGTTCATGGTGCTCTGAGAAAGAAAGTGTTTGATAAGAACTGGGAAAGTGCTCCAGAGGGGACGGGCCAAGGGGAATACTGTTTTGAATTTCCTTCCTAATGGGGAAATGTTGAAACTCATAACTTGAAACTGACATTTCATGTCCAGATAAAAAGTTCAAATCACACAAAAATTAGAAAGCGGCGGAAGTCTGAAAATGCACTTTGAGCAAACACACACCGAGTCATCTGTTAATTTTCTGTCTGAAATTGAAACTAGAATTTGATTAGAGAATCAGATTATAAGTTTAAGTAAACTTTGAAAAAATAATCTGCGACACATCGAGGTTCAGCAAGATTATGATGGCAAAATCAAAAATTGGAACTGAATGTGCTATAAATTGGTTAGTCATGATACATTTTACTTGAAATCAGGTTTGAGGGACCAGACAAAAATTTGATATTGCAAACGTAATATTGCATCGTTTTAAAATTACCTATTCCAAAAAATATAATTAAGACCTATTCCATTAAAGCTCATTTTGGCTACTAACAAAGTTAACTGGTTAATTAGCCGTAAAACCAATAGTAAAAGGGCCTATATTGTAAAGTTTGAGGCACAACCTCAATTTATATGAAAGTTATCGAACCAACTGACGAAACACTTTTTATATTCTGATAAGCAATTTAGCAGTACACATCATTTTCTATGTCTTGGACAGGAGCCTATTGAAGTTAGCTAACATTTGAACTTGAGCGGCTATTCTAATATAGGTTTTACGGTTTTCTCTATTTGAAAAAAAACTAGATCAATAATTTTATTAAAATTTAAAAAAATGATCGATTTATAGCAAAAAATAGAAAAAAAATATATTTCCTGAGTATTTATCATGTAACTTAATTTCTCAGAAATACAACTCACATATTTTTTGTTTTACACTTCTAACTTAGTTTTCTAGTTTTCCTTATGTTCACCTAACAAATTTCGTCTAGTTTTTGCTGTTTGATAACAAAACCTCGCCATTTTTTCACGCCTGGCCAGTCGTCCTAATCTTTTGCCCCAATTCGATAATTTTAGAGTCAAAACGACAGACACATATTTCCTGTTTACACCAGATGAGTTCTGAAGAATGGGACAAAGACATGACGTTTGCTCCAAACCGGAAATTAAGAAGGAAAACACTAAATGGAACTCAAAAAAGAACACCCAAATCGACAAAAACATGAGGGGATATTCCGGAGGAGCGGCGGTATACAGACTGCAAAAAAGGTTTGTTCGGAGTGCTTACCGTTCGGCTCATCTTTTGGAAGGAGAGAAACACGGTGGGTGGTGGTGGAGACTAGTGTTGCGACGACCACACATTGTCTCCTTTCCGTCATTAGTCACTTTGCCCTTGTTGGCAAATATGTTTTTTGGATTCATTCCCGCGTAGAGATTCATGATGATTTCGTAACCCCCACAACGGAAAGAACAATGATGTATCGAGTTAAGTGATTCGAAAAAAAAGGCACTGCCGGCTGAATTGGGTGTGGCACTTGCGAAATGAATGAAAAGAGAAAGATCGTCCTTCTTTATGCTAAACGTCAAGGCCAAACCGAATGTCGGAAGAGAAAGATAGAGAGATGATGGCGGTGGAGGAAGGTTCCAAAAACACTGGAAGCGAAAGTAGAAGTTCAATTGAAGTATTAGTGAAAGCGAAAATCTGTTCATTCTTTTTCTTTTTGCTTTCTCTATTCCACAAAAGTTGCCCCTACAGTACCAACCAGTTCGATTCTTCTAAATAGTTCAATGTTTTTTCCATGAATTGCGTCAGCAGTATATACGCAGAAAAGTCGAATATGATAAGGAAGACAACACTCTGAAAACTATCAGAAAATAGTTTTGTTTGTCTATTATACGAATCGTATAGTAGTCTATGAACGTTTTTGTGCAAAAAGGTTTACTTGTTTGAAAGGTAGAACTACGTCAGTACTGTTAAGCGATAAGCGCAGAGTGCAATTCCGGGCGGAAATTTGAATTGTGAAATTTGAAATTTGATATTTTTTTGATAGAAAAATCATGAACAAATGTCGTTAAGCTACGTGTTCCTCTCTTCTACAAAACTCTATTTGCATAAATCCTGCATTTGCATATTCGGATCTAATCCGACAGCATTTTCCTTTACACCTCTACACAGTTTCGCTTCTATAAACTTGATTGATTCATTTGTAGAAATAAAAACGACCAGGGTGAAGTGAAATCGAAAAAGACAGGAAGAGAAGAAGAAGAACGAACACACCGAAATAATTTGGGGCGTCAAGAATGAAGAGAAGAGGTAATGAACGAATGACCCACTTTTCATTATATGCAGTTTTTTTCAACCACAGTGGGACGGCGAAAGAGAGTGGGTGTTAACTTATCGATGAGTAATCGGAAATAATGAAGAAAAATGGTGGCAAGAAAGATTTTACGACTAAGGATGGAGAAAAGATGGATAAGTCAGGGTGGGAGGAGATAAGGAAATGGGGAAACACCCTCGAAAGAGATAAAAATTACTGAATGGATCATCAAAAAGAAGTATGAGATCATTTCAAATAGATCATCTTGAAACGCATCAATTATAATTCAGAAGAACGTGTTTCGGTGAATATCAAAAAGGTTTTGATGGCGTTTTAACTTTTTCCGTTGTCTGAGACAAAATTGCGTCGAAGATCTGACCAGAAATCAGTTTGAAAACAGAAGAACGTTTCAAAATCGTTTGCCTTATGAAATTACGCAATAAAAGAAAAAATCCCCTCAAATCGTGCCTAACTATGAAGTTCTGTAGATTCTGAAGGGGAGATTTCCCTAGAAGTTTGTTGAAAATCCCATATTGCTAAAAAAAATTGTGAAGCTTAATTTTTCACTTTGAGCCTATTTAGCTCCATTCATGTCACAGATTAAAAAAAAAGGTCAACCGACACAACTTTTTTGATATTTTGTTAAACGTTATATGAGATGACAATTTTCAGATTTCTTTCACGGGAATTGAGATATATGGGCTTAAAGTTGACGGTTTGGGGATATTTACATAATTTCGCGGGTTTAGAACAACATTATACCCAAAATACGCACCCGGTTACTGAAAATTATTTTTACAAAAATTGCAGATATTGAAAAATTTCTGTTTGGCAGGTCTGAATCACAATTCAAAAACTGTTTATCTAAATTTTTAAAAAGAGAGGAGCGAGCTCGCGCCATAGGTGCATCATCTAGACGTTTGGAGCGTTGGAGGAGGGACAAGCAAGCTAGTTCCATTCAACATTTCGAGAAAAGAAGTTGGTGATTTGAGAAGGAACATTTTACCTGGACCAGGTGCTGCCCTAAAAATCAGTTGGGGGGGGGGGGGGTGTGAGTCCTTGAAAAATGTTGAAAAATCGTTTTCTAATAATTAAAAAAAACTTGATTGAAATTTCTTATAATTCCCTACCTGAGATTTTAGGATAATTGAAAATTGGAAATTTTAAGAATGCGACTAGTTTAGTTGAAATTAGGAACTAGAAAAGAACAGGATAAAACAATAAAAAAAACAAATATTTTCCAAAACAAGGCTCTTGACTTTATACTAAAACTAATAACAAAACTATTTTTTACATCCGGTGCGATAAGAGCACCTGAAATTCGTAAACCCTGTCGCACTATCTGTAATACGACGTTAAGGATCAAACCAGAGAGGAAAAATATTTGCATAAGTAGTTATACACTATACATGTACAAAACACTGAGTGACACTGAACTCAACAAGGTCTAAAGTTCAATGGTAGGAAAAAATGACTGAATTACAACCCAAAAATTCAATGTCATCCAAACAATTGAAAAAATGTGAAGAACCTACAGCACACACACAAAATCGTACTCATCCACCCAAAATTAACAAAAATGTGTGCCGTTGGAATCGAAATCGGTGGTGATGATTCTCTCTTTTTCAATTGTTGGTTACGCAAACAAAACTAGAACTGATGCCTCTAGTTGTATAATATTTATCTATCTTTTATTGGAAGTTGTTTTAACTCACACAGTTTGACTGTCCTCATTTTTTTTTCAACCGATTACCATACGAGTAGAATAATGGAAGTGAATTCCATTACTGGATAGAATGGAATTAGGGCAGAAAAATGGAAAATATAGAGGAAGAAAAACAGTTTCACATATTCAGAGACCGTATTCATTAAATTCTATTCGCGAACTGTTTTCTTTTTAAAAATCAATTAGAAGAAAGTGAAAATTGAAGAAAAACTAATTTCTTTTCGGAAAATCCTAATATTTTTGTGAATTAAGGATATTTCGTTGGACGCATAAACTTAATTTTGCGAATTTTCTTATTTAAAAAATATTATTTAATCATAGAATAGTGTGACAAATTCAATGTTATTTAGTTTAGAACCCAATGTTTGTTAGTTTTCAACTGAAAAAAAGTAACTTTTTTTTAAACAACATGAATGGATATAACTGCAATTTTTGAGTGATGTGTCGAAAAATGGGAGTTGAAATTCTACAATTTTTTAGAAAATTTAGTTGAAAAAACAATTTTCTGGTTTTGGTAATCAGAAATCACTGGAATAATGTTCAGTAAACTTCCAAGCTCGCATTTTTACTTTAGAAAATAATTTATGAAAAACTATTACATTTAAGAAAGAAAAACAGCAACCTCGAAGGATTTCAAAACATCTGCGGCTCCTTTGAAGACATGGCGAAAGTATAGAAAAGAAAAAAAAAGCTACATATACACGATGTGCAAGAGGAGAAGCTTTTCATGCATGTCCTTTCTATTTCTGTGTTGTTGCGCAAGAGAGAAAATGGGAAAAGTGGATGCGAAAAACATTTGTCGGTCTTTGGTTTGAAAATGCAAACACGATAATAACCGGTTGCCGAATAAATGTCGCCCTGCACTTTTTTTTGACAAGAGTAACCCTTAATTATCAAAACTTTGTGGTTCATATGAAAATAGTGTTCGAATTCTCTTTAAAAAAACCATGAAAAATATATAATTTGAAAAATTTCAAGTGGAGTTGACTCTATAAACGATGAACAAGATAAATCTAGAACAATTACGTCAAAAATCTAACAAAAACCAACCAATTTGTTCGGATAAATCAATCAAAAGTCAATCCAAAACCAATAAATGGTCCCAACGACACTCCGCTGCGAACGGGCACGCGTTGTTTATCGTAAATCGACACACGCTCTTCTATGTGTCCCCCTCCAACGTTTTTACGTCACTCAAAACCGGTTGTTGCGTGTCTTATTCGCTTAATATCGCTATGCAATCCACAAAGAAATGCTACATTGGATGGATTTTTTTTCTGCTTGTCTATAGGCGTTGCGCCATCAATTTTCAAACGATATAACTTTATTTTTCAGGTTCGCCATGGGGTCAGTGGAGAAATTAAACTCGGATTTGCAAGCGGAACGGCAGAAACTTGCGTTATATGAACGGAATTTACGAGGTAAAATTACTTTTTTAACTTCTCGAACAATTTAAATTAATTTTCAGTTGCTGTGGAAAGCTGTAAAGCTCTGAAAGCTGAGAAAGAGAACCTTGCCAACATAATTGCCGGTTTTGCTTGTGCAGAAGTCAAGGTATTTCATTAGAGTGAGGCTCAGAGTTTCCCCACAAAAACTTTCTTCCAGCCCGGTTCTACTGATATCGATGAATTGAAGCAGAAAATCGCCCTACTGACAAAGGAATTCCAAAGCAAAGAGAGCGCATTGGTCCTTGCGCGCAATTCAGTGTTGGTAAGTGGCCAAGATATCGATTTTCCCTGCGGACCATTATGTGTGTCTGTTGTAGAAGGAGAACCAAGAACTGAAGAAACGGGTGGCCGAGGCGGAGAGTATCCCCAACAGTATGTCGACGAAAACGGGGGACAGTAGTTTTCATTTGGCCGAGTTGGAGCAAAAGTTGCGTAAGGAAATGTCAATGACAAGGAAGTACGAGCAACGGCTACAGCAGATGGAGAATCACATGAAGAATAATTCAGCGAGTGACAATAAAATGGAGGTGAGTGTTTATCTGGTTCAAATTTCAGATTTACCAATGCCAACGGAATGAAAACCTGCATCAAACCTGTCGATGGACCGATCCCATGCAGGCACGGGCCGGCTAGCAACTCGCTTCAAAACTGAAAATCCGATCAAAACGGCACACGAAATGGTAGAGCACGGAAAGCTCTAAAACCTCCGATCAAAATCGACCGGCTTTAAAAGCGGTACCCGTGTTTTGATTTAACTACTAGTTGATGTTTATTGGAGAATGTAGAGTTTACCGAGCTCTATCGGCTGGTGTGTTGCTTTGCCCACAATTTCCAATATGAAACGAGTTATCAGCCGGCCTTTACCGGCCTGGGATCGGTCCGTCGACAAGTATGGCCTAAACAAGTTTCCATTTTTAGCTTGCCAACAAACAGCTCGAAGCAGAAAGAGAGCAGTTCAAGAAACTGTACGAAGACGCTCATGGACGGTCGATCTTTTTGGAGCGCAAGTTTGCGTCGCTTCAACTGGACCAAAAAAGAGATGAAGCAGAAGTTCCAAAACCATCGACTCACGTCGAAGATGATGCGAAGATTACAAAATTAGAAGTTGGAAATAGAAATTGGCTGGCCAAAAAACGTTATTCTTTTCAGGGTCAAATTATGCGCCTGTCTCAACGATGTGATGACAAGGAGAATGAGATATCGGAACTAACATCGGCTATCAGAGCGTTGAAGGAAGAAAAGGAGCAACTTCTGGAGGTAAAACTAGCTGGCATATTCGGTAGCTGGGAAAAGAAGACTGATAACCTTCACCACGGAGTTCAAAAGCCATTATCCAAACTCAGGATGTTAACTCCGAGAAACTTAATCATTGACCATATCATCAGAGAAACAGAGAAACATTAATCATCGCTGATTATGTTAAGAAAAATTGTGCTTAAACCAACCAAAAAACTGTTATAAAGCAAAAAATCCTATTAAACCACGGCTGTGAGAAACAGAGCGGCTAGACGCAACCAGTGCCGTGGGTAGGTTGCCGGAAATCAAACTGACCGATTTTTCGAAAACAAGCTCAGCCAAAACCTTCTAGGATCACTAGGCCACCAAATTTTACACATCCCAAAAAAAGACTACTCAAAAAACCGCGGCGCGTCGGGAAAATCTTAAAAGAACTAAACGAGCTACAGGACCCACTACTCTTCTTAAAAATACGAAATTGCTATGACACCTTTCTAACCATTCTGATACATTTTCAGAATCTCAATCACTGCGAAAAGAAGCGATCACTCTCCCCTGTCGACGAATTCTGGTTCAGAGATGGAATGATTGCTGAATATGAGAAATTCAAAAAGGAAAACTCGAATGCCCTAGGTAATGAACCAAGTTGGCCGTTTTTTCCATTTCTTAATATTCAGAATTCTGTTGTCCGGCTCTCCGTGACGATGTTATGTTGCTCATCGAGAAGGCAGTTCAAGAAAATGCAAAGTCCGATCAAGTCAAGCAACAACAGATTCAGATTACAAATGTGAGTGAAATCAAAAAACCCTATTTCCATTTAGAAAACATGTTTTATTTCAGCTGGAACGAACGATTCGAGTGCTCAACGACAAAATCAACTGCAACGACTCATTTCGCGTCGATATCGAGAAGAAGTTGGAGAAAATGAACAACGATATTAGTCAACGTGACAAAGAAATTTCTCGCCAAAAAGACGAAATGAATCACATGAAAGAGAGTTTGCGGTTGGAGAAAAGCAAGAGAAACGAGCTGGAGGAGGATGTGCTTCGACAGAGAAGATGTACTCAAGAGGAAATTGAGTCTCGAGACCAGGAAATTGAAGCGTTCAGGTTATTATTTTGTTGTGGGGGAGAGGTCAATCAATGAAAAGTAATTTCAGAAAGATGCTCGTTACGTTGCGCCACGAGAAGATGGAGAGATCGCAGAATCCTAGAAAGATTTCGAGGCACAATCGTTCTTCAACATATGAGGAGGATCCGGCTACTCGGAGAAGGAGTAGAACGTACTCACAAGATGACACAACAGTTCCGAATGATCCGGATTCGAAGAATGTGTACTATGAGAATCAGTTGACGAAGAAGGATTTTGATATTCAAGAGCTAAGGTGAGAGCGAAAAACTCACGAATTGTGTCTTGTTATAGACTGACGGTGTTATTTAACAAATTTCGAGCAGCTGACATGCCCCAGATAACAATAGCTATGTTTCAGCAAAGCTTTTGTCACTCATGACTATCTTTGAGATTTCGAAAAATGAACACTAAACCGGCTCTATCACCAAAGATGAGTCCTTTTGAGAAAAATGGGTCCTTTTAGAAAAGATGGGTCCTTTCTTTTGCGAGAGAACTCATCTTTACCAATAGAACTTTTTACCGGTTCTGCTCGGAACATTTAGATAGAAGTATATTCATTTGTAGCCAAACAGCGGAAACAGCCACCCGCTGTTTCCGCTCCGAGCTACTGTTGCTAGGAAACATCAGCCTCCGCTTCAATCCCAGTGTAACATTTTTCCCATCACAATACAAATTCATCTTTCAGGAAACAACTCATGGATGTTGAGATACGCCTCCGCGAGAACGAATCCGTCTCTATGTCACGTCAATTGGAATCTGTTGCTCGAAACGAAGAGATGACGGAGAAAGTACGAGTGCTTGAAGGTGAATATTTTTTCTTTGCAAAATTACGGACCGGACTGATGTCCAGCAGGCTCAGCCCGGCCTCGTTGCCAGGAAACGTTTTGAACTATGACGACGATAAAGACGGTCTGGCCGTCGCGGTCATGGCTTCTTCCCGAATTGTTTTTTAAAACTTGAAAATTACAGGGAAACTGCAAATGCTATCTTCCACAAATGAAATCGACTACCTCCGTAACATTTTCACACAATTCCTTCACTCGATGGGATCACCGACACCGGCCAGCAAGTCGATATTGAAGGCGATGGGCAGCGTGCTGAAGGTTCCGATGGCCGAGATGAAAGTGATTGATAAGAAATAGAATAGATTTTGAAATACGATTAGATATTTTTTTTGTATATAATATTTTTTCCGTTTTTTTTAAGCGAATGGTTCGCGGGTCCAACTGCCTTGGTGTATAAGTATTCTGGTTCATATCGAATTATTGAAATTTCAATCACTTGTACTGTTCTTCTTCTTGTGATACTGCTTTGTCATATTTCTTTTCTTTTGATGTTTGCACTTTATCAACAAAAAAACTTTATGCTCTTTTGAATTTTGTCTCGTGATTTTTCTCTTCCCATTGAGGTTTCTACCCTCATATGTACTTTTTGTTTCCAATTCTTCATAATCTCCCATTAACTTTAATTTTCAGCAAAATGAGCAATTATCGATACTCAAAACTCAACGAAGAAGAGATCTCTCTAGAAGACGTTCCATCATCTGCTGGTCAGATTTTCTCTAGGCAAGAGGTAAGGATTTAAAGTTTTACGGTTTTTTTTAAACAAATTTTGGTTTTTCCAGCAAATAATTCAAGAGCAAGATGAGGAGCTGGAGTTGGTGGGAAATTCAGTGAGGACGTTGCGAGGGATGAGTTCGATGATTGGAGATGAGTTGGATCAGCAATCAGTGTGAGTTATTTTTTCTTGAAACTGGGAATATATTCGCAGTGGACCGGAATTTTGACCAAATCGGGCTTGAGAGAGCGCGAAGAAAGTCTGATAGTGTCTTCTAGACGCCTGAAGCCTAATTAAACGCAAGTTTTTAAAATCCAAAAGGAAGCAGACTTTCCAATAAAGTCTGGGGGCAAGGTGGCCGTGGCCGAAGGTTCCCAACGACAACTATCGTTGCCTAAAAATATGATTTTTCGAAAATAAATTCAGAAAACGGAACAAAAATTGATTACGGTAGCTGCCGTTGTGGGACTTTTCGCCACTGCGACCGGTGTTTTTCATCCACATCTCCGAACTGCATTGAGCAAATTTTAGTGTGTGGAATTTTTTAGTTCTCCTCCAAAATCAATTTTTAAACTGAAGAATAACTTGATTGAAACCAAAGAAACGGCAATTTTTTTTCCTTTAGAAAGTAAAAATTATTTTCTCTTTGTTTCATCCTCCCGCGCATCCTAAGAGAAAAAAACACAATTACTTGTGTAAGCCAAAAAAGCCCTCGTTTTCTAACGTTTTCCGTGTTTCAGCATGCTAGATGACCTTGGACAAGAGATGGAATACGCCGAGACAAAGCTGGACACTGCTATGAAGAAAATGGCAAAGCTGACTCACCTTGAAGACGGTAAGGGGGTGTTTTTTCAAACATCGGCAAAACTTTTTTGCTTCCGTTATTGCCTAGTTGGATATTGCATCCTTTCGAACAAAAAACGTTTCGTTTCTTGCGGAAAAGCAGCATTCTCGGCTTTTAACATGCAACGATTTCATCCTGTATTGCCAGTTGAGCCTATTCTCATACCATTTTCGGGACTGCAGAATGACTATGACTTTGACGAGCGTGAAAATTACATGGGTGTCTGTGGACTACACGCTGTGCGCACTGCTCCGTTTCCATGCCTCATAAAACTATGCATGGCAGACAAAGGCAACGGAAACAATTATCTTCTCTCTCCATAGCCACAACTTATTCATTTTGCAGAGTCCAGCCAGTGCAAAATGATCATGGTCCTCTCGGCGTTGCTGTTCTTCCTCATCTTCATTCTCATCATCTGAGCTACTCCACCTTTGACTTTGTCTTTTTGTTTACCCTTTGCCCTATACTCTCAGAGCTCTCAACGTTCCTTCCAATTTTCTCCGTCTAGAAATTAGTTCCGGGTGTAAATAAAACAAAACTATATAGTGTTACAATTCTCAGACTTTTGTTATAATAAAAGTTCTATCGCTTGTGTTTAAAAATTCAGAATCACCACATATATACTGTGCCTCGCAGTACATCTTTACCTGAAATTTTTATGTTATTATTGATCGATGGGCAAGACACTCTCTTCCCAACCCTCGTTCACCTATGCAAACACTTTCACAACTTTCTTGCCTTATCGCAACACGCCAACACTTTCGAATTAACCAATTTTAGATGATTGTTAGAGGGTTGTGGTGACGGAGAATGAAAATTCTACGTGTCTTAGTTGTATATAGTATTTATTCGATTTATTTTGCGGACGCCGTCAAAAATGGAGCCAAGAATGGAACGGATCCCAATGGATACATCGTCTTTTGTCCCTGTATGGGTGAGTTTTAATTTTTGCGGTGTTTAAAAACAATACAATTTTTTCAGGAAGGTTTGGAAATCAAATCGATCAGTTCTTAGGAGTATTGTCATTCGCAAAGTCTTTGGATCGAACTTTAGTGCTGCCAAACTTCATTGAGTTTAATCATCCGGAAACGGTATGTCTTTAATTTGATACGAAAAAGCTAAATCTAGTTGGTTTCAGAAGATGATCCCATTCGAAGTGTTGTTTCAAGTTGGTACTGTTGCCAAATACACTCGAGTGGTAACAATGCACGAGTTCACAAAAAAAATCATGTCAAAAGTGTGGCCGCCAGAGAAGAGAAAAGCATTTTGCTGGAACCCCAGGAAAGCGATCTACGACACAGATGCCGAGCCAGGATGCCATGCAAAAGAAGGAAATCCATTCGGCCCATACTGGGATCAGATTGGAGTCTCATTTGTTGGGGATGAGTATTTTGGAGAAATTCCTGGAGGATTCGAAACCAGTCAGATGGGAAGTCGAAAGAAATGGCTGGAGAAGTTTGGACCGGAAGAGTTTCCTGTTCTGGCATTCCCCAGTGCACCAGCAGCGTTTCCATCCAAAGGAAAGGTGTGGAGTATTCAGAAATATTTGAGATGGTCTTCAAGGATAACAGAGCAAGCCAAGAAGTACATTACGAATAATTTGCAAAAGCCATTTGTAGCTGTGCACTTGCGAAATGACGCTGATTGGGTAATTTTAAAGTGGAATTGTGTGTGAAAGTCTTGTTTTTTGCAGGTCAGAGTTTGTGATCACATTGACTTGGAGAAAAATCGACCTCTTTTTGCTTCTGAGCAGTGTCTAGGAGAAGGACATCATCAAGGACAGCTCACCATGGAGATGTGTATTCCAAACAAACAACAAATCGTGGACATGGTATTTTTCAGCAAATAAATCGCTAGTTTCGATGAAATGTTGTTTCAGATCGTTGAAAAGGTGGGCTCAATAGGCGCCAAGTCAGTATTCGTAGCCAGCGACAAAGATCATATGATTGATGAAATCAATGAGGCCCTAAAGCCGTATGAGGTGCGACTTCCTCTTGTTTGCAGCCAAACAAATAATCGACGTTTCAGATCGAGGCTCATAGACAAGAAGTTGATGACATGTACACATCGCTCGCTATCATGGGACGTTCTGATTTGTTCATTGGCAACTGTGTGTCCACATTTTCGCATATCGTGAAACGGGAAAGAGATCACACTGGACAGTCGCCACGACCATCCGCATTTTTTGGAGTCCGATCCGCCAGGAGACATATTGATTTATAGTTTTTTAATAAAAACTTCATGATCTCGTTTTAACAGTTGGAGAACTTTATTGTTGGATAAATGTTGTTTTAACAGAGAAAAAATGCAAGAAAAGTAGAAGGAGCCGGAGTAAAAAAAGAATAAAGAAACTCAACAACAATCGCGCTCCATTGAAACTCAGTTGACCATCTCACACTCTTCGGAGTTCCCTTTCACATCCTTTGACGCAGATCTCTGGTGAACATAGAAGTAAATACCGAAGAAAACGATGGAGAGGATCACAAGCAAGCCGATTCCCCAAATGATGATCTGTTTGATGTAACCGATGGCTCGTGGTTCGAGAAGTTGCCGATGTGCCGAGATTTCCAGATGTTCTCCGAGGAGGGAATGCAGTTTGTCGAGGTCATCGTGAGTGACGGTGAGATTGTCCTGAAAGAATTTTTGTTGTCATCAATTAAGAATTCAAAATTGTAATTGTCAAATTCCGGGCTGACTCGGTGACCCGGCCAGGCGTCAATGAAAATCCTCGAGATATTCCGCCCTTACAAAAGTATCGAAACTTCAAATTTTTTCAAAAAAACCTTCATAAAAAAGTCAGAACTTTGAAACTTAAGAATCTGATCCGGGCCCTAGAAAAGTATGACTAAAATGAACAAGTTTCTCACCACGTTGTGAGAAATCGGGAAGAGAACCGTGGTTTTGCAGGAGTTTCCATAGATGATATTCTCGTTGACAACTATGAAATCGGTCTTGGCAGCAATCATAAAGATGTGCTTTGAGTTTTCCATATGTCTCATCCCATGGACTCCGTTGACCACCGTTCCATAAACCTGAAAATAAACAATGAGAGTAAAATTCATTATTTCATTGGCTTGCCTCTGTGTTTGATGCAACAATGATAATGCCATTCGCAAAATATCTGGTCAGAGTTTGGCTTGGTGTCAGGAACACTTCTTGGTCACAATCCTTGTAATTGGTAACTGAGCATTTGTTCTTTTTGGACACTTTGCAGCGAATAAGGGACCTGAGTCTGTGGCAGGAGTCAGCCGAAATAATTTTATCTCCAATTTCGACAGCGAACTGGGAAATGTTGCGGAACTTGTAAATGGTTCCACTCTCGGAAAATTTTCCTATTGGAATCACCTAAATCGATTTAAGTTATCATTATACGAATTTGGATAGTGAAACTAACAATTTTGTAGCGACCCAACTGTCTCCGTTTGTTGACATCACCACATGCGTACATCTCCAACTGATTTTCTTTGTTACACTGCAGCTGTTTGTGGGTCATAATTGCCCATGCGTCATGGTCTCGATTAGGAGGGTATCCAAAGTACTCCGAAAGCGACTGCAAAAGGGACCTGTGTACTGAATTATACAAATAAAACTTACCGTAATATTCCATTGAAGAATATTTTTGAGCTCGTAGTAGTCGGAGGTGACAAGCTCATCTTTAGCCAAGAGACGGCGCAAATCTTTTGAAATTTCCTTCATGAACGCCTTCCTATCCTCATCAGTAATTTCTTCTATCTCTTTGAAGCCCATTGAGTTTTTAAACTTTTTCCACACTCTGATCGCTTTGTTCAATTCAGAATTGTTTGTGGTGTCTCGCTTGAATCGTTCTTCGATTTCTGGAGGGCTCAGATAGTGTCCTGTTGCCTCGGTCAGAGCTTGGCAAGTGGTAGTGATCATTTCGGAGACGTCGTATTTGTTATGAGTGCCTGGGATGATTTGCACAGTGGTGCACATGTGTTTGGTGTCTTCGATATACTCGAGTCTGAAAAAAAAAAGTTCCTTCTTTCCTTGAACCTCAATTATCTAAATTTCTGTAAGGAATGACAAAAATCTGTCAACTGATAGAATGTTTGTCGTATTATCATTCACATTTTACCAGTTGACCCATTTAGGAATTAAGATAATTCAGCTCAAAATGCACCTCAACAAGAGTGTTCATGGTAACTTACGTTGCATCTCTATTGTCCCACATAATGAACGGCTCCTCGGGCGGACCATTGGCCATGGCCACGATCGGAATCATTGTCCAGAATAGCAAGAAAACCCAAGTCTTCATTCTGAAATTTGAAAATATCTGAAGAGAAAAAAGTCACAAGAGCAAAAACAAGCTCGTCTGATGCTAGGAATGCTGTCAAAAACTGGGCTAACACAGTTTTTTTTTGTGTAATGGTGAGTTACACAGAACTGTTGGGAGATGTGTTGATGAAGGTTTGCTCAAATGATGACCATTACATTAAATGGAACAATAGGAGAAAATGTTTTTGAAATGAGGCGGGATGGGCGGGAAATTGCCGGTTAAAAAGTGTGCAAAAAGAGGGAGAGGGAATTGGAACATCTGGAGCTAGGGGCATGGTACAGGCCCACCTGTTAGTTTTAAAAGGGCACGAACTCAAAAAAGTGCAAGTTTTTGTGTGGTTTAATTAGCGTGTCAGAGATGTTCAAAATGGCCAATTTAGAATTTTTGGGTACGGCGAAAACTCCGGATTTCAAAATTCGGATTTCGGAGTCTTTGAGATATTCCGATTTATAAAAATTTCGTAACTTCCAATCACAAAATCGCGAAAAATTGGTGAAAGGATTGAATAGCCGATTTGGAGGATGCAAAAAATTGTCAAAAAAATTTCGCTCAACACCCAAGGAAATTTTCCGCGCGCGTCTTTGACTTACCGTATTCCAGAAAATTCTAATTTCAGAATGCAATATCGGAAAATTCCGAAAAAATATTTTGGACCTTTAGAATTCTCATTTTTGGTCCGAACATGGCTATTAATGCATTCCATTTTCAAAATTCAAATTTTGGTTTCAAAAGTGATTAAGCGCGTGACTTTCAGAAAAATGGATCCGAGAAACGTTATAAAGGTACAAAGCTACAAGGAAACGGATTTGGAAGCTGTACCATGCAACCTTGAGACACGGCCAAAGTCTTCTCTACTTCTCTGTGTATCTTAGAAAAATGAATATTATGTTTTTCATAACATTTTCACATTTGTCTTTGTGCCATGCGGTGTAGAAGATTTGAAATTTTAGTAAATGTCTTGAATCAAAGAATGTACCACTTTCAGGGTACTGTATACTAACACTGGTACTAACATTCATCGTTTCACGACAAAATTCATCATTTCGAAAAATGGACAACAATTTGAGAGATGTATAGTTCAGAACATTGTGTGCCTGGTACGAGGTGTGACCTCAAATGTTATTGCCAAATTCAAAAAAACGGACGAGAGAGCACTGAAATTTAGGAAAAGATTAATTGATGCACTTTTGTATTAATTGCCTGAGAACTAAATGGATTTGAAAATATGGGCATAGAGAGTTGTGGAGATGGAGAGTTTCAGAAAACCACAATTTTGTAATGAGGTTGGATGGGCGTGAAATCGCCGGTTGAAATATATTCAGAAACATAAAAGGGCATCCAAACATCTAGATTTAGGGTCTTGGTACAGGCCCACCTGTTAGATTTCAAAGGTCAGAAACTCAAAAAGTACAATTTGTCGGTTGGTTTAATAAGTGACCAAAAATTTGGAGAGTACAGAAATTTGGGGGTATAACGGGGTACAAAATAGGTGTTACGAAAAAATTCAACTAATTAATTACTTATCATAACATCACGAATACTTTTTTAGTTGACAGATGTTTTATATCCTTCAAAGGAGATAAGTGAGCTCAAACTGCATTTATAAAATGGAGTTCTATTAGAGTAAATAACGTATGTTCAATTTCGATATTTCTTAGTTTTGTAAGTTAGATTGGGCGCGTAGCTTTCGGGAGGATTGATCCAAGTACCTTGGAAAAAAAGGAGGAAGCTGCGAGACAACAGTATTCGAATCTGTATCTTGCAACCTTGAGACGCGGTCAAAGTCTTGTCTTCTTCTCTGCGCCTCGTGGTCATCGAGAAAATAGCTATTATGTTTTCAAAACATTGTCACATTTGTCTTTTTGTCACGTGGTGTTCAAGATTTGGAATTTGAGTCTACTCAATGTACTACGTTCAACAAAACGTATCTAACTTTTATTCATTCCCACAAAATTGATCATTTCAAAAAGTAGTCAACAATTTGAGAGATGTAGAGTTCAGAAAATTGTGTGCCTGGTACGAGGTGTGACCTCTAATGTTATTGCTAAATTCGAAAAGATAGAGAGCAATGAAATCTAGAAGAGGGTTAATTGGTGCACTATTGTGTGAATGGTATAATATTTGGATGGATTCGAAAAGGTGCACGTATTAGAATGAACAGTTTCAAATTTTCAAAAGAGCCAAGACTTGGAACCGAGGGAACTTTCACAATATTTGAATTCAGTGGTCGTGGAAAACCGGGTGTGAAATAGGATGTATTTCTCTAGATTCGAAAAATAAGCTCGTTGTGTCTGCATAGTATGAGCTGTCTTTTCAGAATTTCAGATATTCGATTATCGAAAAAAATTCTACTAAAGAATTTTCAATTTTCAGAAGAAAATGGTTACAACTTTCAATTTTGTGGCACACACGCGACGTTGGTTTTGCTTTGTTTCCTAGCACCGTAAACTTTTAATGTGGTTTTCCCGGCGGAGCATGTTGCCAGTAGAGATGTCCTTGAATATCTCAGTCTTTTCTGCATTTTCAGTAGAACACTTTGTCTGATATCTTTGAAAGTAAAATCAAAAGTTAGTATGATTCATTAAGGATGATTCAACGTTCAATGAATAAACATTATGTACCGTAAAACCTATAATAATATGGCCTCCTTTAAACAAATTTTTCTCGGTTCCCTTCAAAGATATAAAAAAGTTGTCAGCAGATATATTGTTTATCATAATATTATAAGTGTTTTGTTAGTTGACACATTTTCGATATCTTGCAGAGGAATTAAAATGATGCTCAAACTTGGAGCTTTTCTATCACATGCTGTACGGTATTTCTTAGAAACGATCTTACAATCTTAGATTGTTATCTCAAGTGCCTAATGCTCAACAATTTAGCCATATATTTCCTGAATTCATTTTTGTTTCCATTTCTAATGATCTGCTAACGATCTTAGTTACGAATTCCGAATGGAAAACTTTGTCAGAAATTATCTTTCAATCACTTATCTGCATTTAAAATTTCAAAAGCAGATAATTTGACTTGAAAAGCTCTCAGTTTCAAATATGACGTTTTTAGAATCTCAGAATGTATAGGTTGTCATGTAGAGTTAGGTTAGGATCGCATTTCATTTCTCAAATTCCATTGAGTTCTATGGCAGCCTAAATATTTTCAGGTTAGTGTTCTTGTCTCTTCTTATCTGAAATGGATCTGTGAATATAACTTTTTGTATCTAAACTTTTGATTTTCAAGCTATTTCCTGTGTAACCCTTCTGTCAAAAATGCACTCCCACAAGCCAAATGAATCCTATTCATAGTTTTTCAGAAATCCATCGAGTGGCAGTAACCAACTATCTGCGCTTATCTCATTACTACGCTCTCGTGACATAATTACTGTTTGCTCTCTTTTTGGTGGTTTAATCGACTGATATTCTTCATTATGCAGGACTGTTGGCACAGAAGACAAAAGAGAGACAGAGAGTGATTGTCTGCTCTCATCCTATCGTGTTCTTATCTGATCTTTGTTTTCCTTTCAGTTAATAAGTCCTATATTCTTCCTGTCGAATAGCTATTCGTAGACTCTTGCGTAAATCTACATAACTCTAAAATCCATACGAGACACACAGACAGAAAGCAGCCATCAAATATTTGCGCAATGCATATTCGAATTATTTTCACGAAATTCAATTTTTTCTTCCTTCCTGACGGTTTGAAAATGTATTAAAACGTTAATATCATACTTGTAAAATTCCGGGCCGGCCCGTCAAAGCCCGGGCCTGAGGGAAATTTCAAGGCCCGGGCCCGGCCCGGAAGGCCCGGTAGCGAAAATTTTGTCATTTTGAACCGAATTTTGAGCTCTCAATACAATTTTCTATATTTTTTTGTGCTTTTTGGATTGTTTGTCTGTTTGATCAAAAAATATCAAAAAAAAAACTCGAAGAAAATCCCTTATGTGTTTTTTGAAAATTTCAAAACTTGTGGAATGACAGGCCCGCCGGCCCGGGCCGGGCTTGGGCCGGACCTCCAAAATTCGGGAAAAAGCCCGCCCCGGCCCGTTACAAGTATGGTTAATATAATTTTTTGCATCTTATTCGCAAACGGGATATCTAGTTTCTTTCTATCATAGTTTTTAGAGCAATGATATTGTAATCTATAGTAATTAATTCTCAAAATGAAACACTATTCTTAAAACTAAACTAGAGTTTTTAAGCAATACCGTAGATATCTCATATTAAAAAAAGATAACAGAAATCTAGCTAAAACATAAAATCCCAAATGACCAATTAAGTTGAATACATACCTTGCACTGGCTTGTTGGGTCTGAAAATTTTATGGGATCAAAAACCAAGAATGGAAAAATTTTTTGTGGTTAACTTTTTTGTTAATCACTTGCCTGGAATATAGGCTCTTATCTTGTGCCCGTTGATTTTTATCAATTTCATCGAAATCTTCAGAATGTTGAAAGTGTTTCTTTTTCAATGTATTTCTTCATATATGAAAGTTTTTAACTAACTTAATAGAGTTTTGAATTTGCTTAACCATTATAGAGTGTCTTTAAAAGAAACCGACAACTGCTAAGTATTCATTCAGGCACATAGAGTTGACTATTTGCATTTAAAATGATCAATGTGGTCATTAGGACTTTTTACTCCCCAGTTCTATTCTGAACTTTATTTCGTTTGAAAAATACAACTCGACAAGCTCCGTTTCTTTTGCTTTTGTTGTTTCAAAAACCATAAATTATCTCTTGTCTTTAAGCAGAATGGGTTGTCAAGAGCTACTTCACCCAGTGACCTCGCTTTTCAAATGTTTTTTCTCTTTTAGATATAACGAAGTCAATTTAAACCGCCACCTTTAAATCATTCCTCTGATCATTTCCTCGTTTCCTCTGAAAGACATCAAAACTTTGTTAACCGATAAAGTATTTTTGATATTATGATGAATAATTTATCAGTTGACACATTCTTGAAATCTTCTGAAAGAAACGATAGCTGAGCTCAAAAACAACGGTTTGGGTGGGCATCTGTTAGAAGAAACACTGTAAGTCACAAGTGAAACACTATTTCAAAGTTTCCTTTTTTTCTCAGATCGAGATTTTTTCTACACTGTATGTTCTTTTTTAATAGGTATGCCAGCTGCTCCGGATAATTTCGACCTGCACGCTCTCGCTGATGCGCTCGATGAGTCTTCCGACTCGTCCACGGACAACGAGTCCATTAACGAGGAAATCAGTACAATCCAAAGACCGGACCCTGCCGTTCAGAGAGCCATCGCCCGAGAAGAGGAACTTGAACGCCGAGTAAGAATTAAATATAAATTTGTCTAAAGAGCTGATCAAATTTTTTCAGCGGAACATTGGCATCGCTCATATCAGAAGCTTTGGATACGTCATCCCATATAATATGCTTATTCAGCTTCTGCAGCTGATGAATCACCATCTTGCTCATTTCGAACCAGGGTAAGCATTTTAATATTGAGCTGACAATTTATCCCGGGATCAAAAGATTGTCTCCCACATAACGGGATTAAGAACCAAATGAAGTCAATATTTCAGAATGGAAACTCGTCTAGCTATCCAAGTCTGCCTGGTCTTGTACAACTACCCAGAGGTTATCGATGGATTCAACGATTATCTGTGGCTTGGGATCACTGTTCGCCGCGAGTTGGCAGGCGGCGAATTTCGCTACGTTATCTATTTTCCCGGCGGGTTCTGTGTAAGTCTCTCAAATTGAAACCAACTGGAATTATAATTGAATTTCAGTTCGTCCCCACCCCAGATCAATGTTATGAAAATTTGCCGGAAAACGATGAGGATGATCATGAGGCGTTCATGAGAGAGCGTCAGCAAGGAGAACGGTGGCTGGATAGCAGTAGCTCGGAAAATGAGCAAGAAGGCAATGATACAGATTCGATATCGGAGGGAGAGCATATTCCAAACGGAGAGCATTGAGAATTTGGATTTCATTTCCTATTGTTTTTTAGTAAACCGAACAGCATCTCTCACATTTTTACGGTTGAATATAACTAATTCTCAAATGTTTTTCATTGTTGCCACTATTGTTCTGTAAGGTTATTCTTGACAAATTTTCCAAGTTTGCAAATTCCCGACTTCTTGATGAATTTTTCATTTTATTTCAAAATTCAAAGGGTGGAACAAAGTGTGAATACAAATATCTAACACATTTCAGTTTTGTCAGAAATTTCAGTTGTCGGAGAATCCCAAAATACGTTTGGAAAAAAAGGAATGGAGAAGCGAAAAAAGAAACGTCACAGCCGGTAAAGCAGTATACAATTAAAGATAGAAAAGCAGGAAAAAGAGAGATTTTGAAAAGAATTGTAATCAGTTGGTTTAGTCAGTGTTCCCGAGTTTAAAGCAAAAATTAATGTGTTGACATGTACTATTGAGGCATCGTATTCAGTTGATTTTGAGATCCAATAGATCGCCTGAAATTATATTTCAATAAAAAATACAGGAGGAAGTAATTAAAGTGATTAGGACACACCATTTTGCAATTTCTTGGAAGCAAACTGATTGTTGTTGTCCAGTGGAAGGCAGAGCTTAACTTCGATTGACGTGTCGGTTGCAGAATTAGGACTGCTCTCCTCATTTCCGTTTTTCACGTCTTCAGTTGGAGACTGAAATAATCAAAATTGCAAATCTAATCTAATGATTCAGTTAATTTACCATTCTTTTGCCCGCAGCAAAGCACATAGTTTCCGGGACAGTGGAGGACCTAGTTGGGACAGTCTGAAAACTTAGAAATTCTCTGTTTTTCCTAGTATAAGACTCATTACCTCGATTTTAAGAGTGTTCGTCTCTTCAATAATGCCCGTCAATTTGTCGTTGTATGGACTGATAATGCTTGTCACTGAAAAACAAAACAAATAATTTTTGACACTCGAAAACCATAAAAACTATTGGGACATATATATTAAATGAAACGTTGTTGTTTTCCCTAAATGCTCAGATAACATTCTCAGACAATGTTGGGACAAAATTGACTCGATTCGGACAGGTTTGTTCTCTAGAGATACAATTTTGGATGGCACTCAAATGTTATCAGTGTTATTAGTAATTCGATGTTTCGCAGTTTTCCATTCTCATCATGCAACATTCAATTGGACTGAAATAAAAATAGGAACAAAGTAATGCAAAAACTGAACGTGCAAAGAGCATGCAAAAGAAAAGAACTAATAATAAAAAATACTGCAGCTTATCTTCGAGATTCTCTGGGCACGGGTAAACAAACAAAACCTACACTTTCCAATGCAAAGAGGTTTCAGATTAAGAGATGTAGGTCGCGCTGAAAAGTATGTTAGTGGTTGAAATGGGAGAGAGATGTGAAGTGAGAAGAGGAGAGAGAGAGAGAGAGAGAGAAAAAGAGTTATCTCGTTATCATGAGTCTATCAGAATGCAATTTCTCTTAAGATTTCTTCGAATTCCTTGATTTAATACGTTCTCATTTCTAAGAAGCAATGTTTTGGAAGAATAGAAGAGAAGCTGATAATCATGCTCTGTTTTGAAAATAAACAATCCGCAGGTGCAGAAAGTAGCATTCGATTGACCCCTAGATTTTTTAAAAGATAGATTTTGGAAAAATAAAATAGAAGTGAGAAGCATTAGTTGTGAGTTTTTTAGGGTTAAATGGTGGGGGTTTTCGGCAAATGTGAGTTGAAAGAAAACCAAGTTGAAGCAATGTGTTTCCGGGCGGTTTGGGAAAATACGAGCTGGATCTGAATAACTAACCCATCGAGTTGGAAGATGAGATGCTCATCGGGGTGTCAGATCGTTTGTCGAGTCCATTTATCTGAAATTTTGCATTTCGATATGTTTTTTTTTCAGTCTTTAAAGGAGGAGAGACAGCAAATGTTTCGGAGGGTTTTGGAGTTACAGTATGCGTTCTGGCATGACGGCGTACAGTCCTTAATGTTCACACAGCATGTTGCTATCATACCGTTTTCATATATTCTATCGTCCGGTCGCCTCAGCTTTTGCCACCGTAGCTCAGATGGTAGCGGCGCGGCATCTCTATTGTTGGGCTCACGGGTTCAACTTCGCAAGGGGCGTACATGACCGAAATTCAGAAAAAAAAATTTGCATGTCTCTCAACCTTTAAATTGCCTAAAACTGAATGCTTTCCCACGACCCCTTGATTCCAAAAATCAAATGACTCACCTGTCCAGCTGATGAAATAGCATTTGGCAAACTGACAGCTCTATTCATTCTCAATGAGTGCATCGGAAGTCCAAAGTTCTGAATGCGCTGTAGTCGCTCCTTTTTTGAGAGCATATTAGTTATAGCTACTTCTTGCCGCAACCGGTCGAGCTTGAGCATTGATTCCACCTGAAACCACATTTTAGAGTTCCCAATTTCCAAATTTTGCTTCTTACCGCTTGAATACTTTTAGTGTATGCCTCAATGTAGTTTAGGGTTTGTTGCTGGTATTGAGATTCTGTTGAGGACGAGGAGCTTCGGGAAGATCCACCATCGTGTTCTTCATGGGATGTGTCCTTGGCAGCCATCATGGCCAATGAAGATCGATCTTCCATATCTTGAGAGGATTTCGGAATATGGGCAACCACATCATAGTACAAAGACGTTCGATGGATGGTTTCCGTTCCTAGCATCTTTTTGAAGAACTTCTCAGTGAGACTTGGCTTTTTGTAGATTTGAAGACAGATCCTTTTTCTTAACACAATGTGCATTGGGCAAGGGTGGGACAGACGGACCATAACTTTTACAATCGCGTAGATCCGGTCATTGCTGTTCGTTGGAACGTTCAGAGCTGGGGAATCATGCACTGAAGAGTCCCAGGAACATGTTGCAATGTGATCTTTGTCGTCGTATTTGTGAATGGGAAGTAACAGAAGATTGCCTTCCGGTTCCAAAGGAAGCATAGAATGTAATCCAGCAACTCGTGGAGCATTTTCATCACTGGTCATCTCACCAGTCATATCATCAGAATTGAGATCTAGGAATAGCACTGGGATATGTCGCTCGACGCCTTCTGGCGCGATCCTAAAAATAGAAAATAGTGTTGGTTAAAAATCAAGGCTCTATGCTGTCTTACCAGTCACACGGGGCTCCTGGAATACATGAATTCGGTGCTGGACACTCGACGGCGGTTCTCTCCTCGGTCAGTGCCACCCACTGTCCCATTAACGAATGCTCCCTGTCTAGTTCAGCTTCAGACTTTCCAGATTTAGCACTCAATGTATCTAACTGATGTTGAAGATAGAACTGCCGATACTTCAGCGCGTGTGACCATTGTTTCCTGATCTTATCTAGGTCCTCTTCCTGGTAGCTGTCAATTGATTTGGAATGGTTTGGTTTGACAGCCATTATAGCTCCAATGCTAACAGATGTGATGCTATCGATGCTAATTGGAAGTCCATCTGGTGCCGCAACGTTCATTCCAACCACCAAACGTCGTTGCTGTCCTTGTTTCAACTGATAGATACCACCAGTGGCTACATCCTCAGCATGTCTGACTTCTACACTCGTCCATTCTCCATTTTCATTCAATTCCCGAACTTCAGCCCACATCTCAAGTCGTCGGGTCACTTCCATCCATCGATTCTGGAGCGATTTGCATTTCTCATCAGTATCCAAAACACGTTCTTCAGGATGTCCACAGATTCGATGTCCCCAGACTTCAATGGAAAGAGCGTCATCTCTCACGTACTCCATGAACTCTTCAGTGACCGTCACGTTGAAATCCTGAACGAAAAAGTAAACATTTGAGTCATTTTGTACTATTCTACTTACTCGTTGATGCTCAAAGATGACAGTTGTCGGACACGACAAATGGTTTGCTGCCTCGTTAGCTGGCGCAACAACAAGCAGTTCGGAGATGTTGAAAAACGAATACTGGCAGAAAACAAAGTTGGAGAGTTTTTCCGGAAGGCCCGATGCGCGCTTGATTCGTACGCGACAAGTGATAGTTTTGCCAAGTAGTGAATCCGGTCCAGTGTTGGCATGATTGTCAATCTCTTCTTGTGTCACAACGCGGAAGATTTGTACATGTAGACGTCCAGCGACTTCTCCTTGTTGAGAAATTATTGGGACCTAGAAATCAAACTTTACAGGTGTCCATGAGGATGGATCTAATACCTGGTAATCAAGACGGAGATCATGGAACAAGACTTCCAAGAAAACATTGGCAACTCCCACCAAATTATGGTGTTCTTGGCTTTCAAAAAATGGGTCAATAACTAGAGAGGAGCACTCGTTCAATGGGATTCCAGCGGTCTTCATTGGAGATGCATTGGGTGTTCCGTTCAATGACTCAGATGCTCTGAAAAGAAGAAACTTTTGTACTATCGCTATCCGAGAGACTACAAACCTTGAATAGCCATTAAGCATGTCATTGTAAGTGTCTCGCATGTCAACCAATCTGCTTTCCAACTGGGATACAGTCCAGAATTGGCTGCCACTCATTCCCTCTCGACGAACAACGATTACAGGTTCACATACAAATTGTCCAGCTTTGATTTTGATTGGTCTTAAGTTGGAAGCCGGAATTTGAAGAGTAACATCATATGCTGTCTGGCGTTTGGGCTTTTTGTTCAACTCCTTGGAAATCATATTCGCTTCACGAACGAGGGCATTAGCATGGATCACATCTGCCTTGAGTCGTTTCAACGATTCAGCAAACATCTCTTCTCTAGAAAATGGTTCATTGCGAATTTTTAAAATTTCAGAAAATTCGGCCAACTCACTTTCTCTGCGCCCAATAGAAAAACTTGCTCTTTACAGACTGTTTCGGGTTCGTTGGGAATGGGAATGGTGGTAATCCAGTCGGCGTGGTAATCGGTGTCGGTAAACCGAATCCTGGTGTCATCGGTGTGGAGGGTGTGAAACCGCCAGCCGTCAGCGACTGAATGTATTTCTCGAATGCCTCGTATTGCTGCTCAAGCGCTGCTTTCTTGTCTTCCTGGAAACAATTAACTGGGAATTAGGAGTCGGCAAAAAGAGTCTGCGAAGGGGTCTCGGGATTACCTGATGTTTCAATGTAACACTCTCCATGTACTGATCGACTGCAGAACTGATTGGGTTCGCGTCGTTGACCTCATGCCAGGCATCGTTGTAATCAAACATGGTGCTGTCCTCCATAATAGATTGTTCCATGTCCATCACTTTCGGACAGTTCACTTTGAAGAAGTGATTCATTCCAACCAGCAAACGATTTCCATTGCGAAGAAGTGTCCGATCAGTGATCTGTTTTCCATTAACACAGATCCGACATTCAGATGACATTGGGGCAACGAACAGACGCATTCGGCCACCGTACTCGTCTACGGTCAACTTGGCGTGTCGCCTCATTATTCCAAGACCCCGAAGGACAATGCTGGTGCGTTCTGGAAAGTTGGCATTGCGTCAATTTCAAAAGACAAAATACATTTTCAAAAAATTATAGAATTCGTACCTTTTTCGTCTTCCTTCTTTCCTGAATCATTTGATGACATTGACAATCCTGAATCTCTGCTTGTCTCCAACTCCTCGGAGTTTCCGATAATTGCTGATCCCTGGAATTAAATCTGTTGCTGGCTCCCCATTTTATGAAAATCTCACATTAATATAATAGACCAACAACTCGTTCAACGATGGATCGGCATTCATGTTAACCAGATAAAACCGATCCTTCTCAACCTTGATTCCACTGGACTCAATTGAAATTCCAATTTCCGCCAAATCCTTCTGTCGTTCTTTATTCAAAGTGTCAGTTTCCTTAAGACGCTCCTCCCAAGATTTGTTCATCTGTGCCACAAGCCGTTCACTCTCAGCAAGTCTCTCGCGGAGCTCTTCAGTTTCCTGTAATTACCTTAAAAATGCCAGAGTTCAATCCATCAAACACATACCGCATGTTCTTTCTTCGTTTGTGTGATTTGCATGCGAAGTGTCTCCACCTCCTCTCGTAACTCCCGAATAACTCTGGCATTCGGATCCTCGTTGATGATTGCGTGATTGACAATCTTCTTGGCGCGATCCGCATATCTCAGTGTTGATAGTGTCTCCTCATAATTGTCAGCTGCAGGTGACAATGTTGCAATCATAACTGTTCTCGAGTTTCCTCCAAGTGAATCTTTGAGCAGCCAGGTCAACACAGAGTCTCGGTATGGAATGAACTTGTCTTTTTTAGAATTTCTCTCTGCCAACGCGGATATCACCATGCCCAGAGTTGTGAGTGATCTATAAAACTGTCAATAAATTTTAGCTTCGAGCAGGTTATCTCTACTTATTGATATTTCCTCCTTCTTCAAGACGCTTTCCAACAGCTCCAGTTTTTCCAGCTCTCTCACTTCCTGCCAAATCGACCAATGAGATTTTGGCCACCTTCTCTCCACTGAACCCGTTATCCAGATCGTGCAAAGTTTGTGTTACAATCAAACTGAACACCGCATGTGATCTAGAACTTTCGGCGTTCATATTCGTAGCTGCAACTGTTCTCGACTTGTTTCCCTCTTCTAGGAGATTTGAGATTTGCTGAAACAATTTTTTGTTTTAGCATTCGAAATTGTTTTTTCGGCAAACCTCAAAAGAGTTGACTGCAAGAATGGACAATCCATCAACCATCGGTCCGAGTATTTTATGTTCCCGCACTTTCAGTGCTTTGCTTGATCTTCAAAGACGTTTTGTTTTATGTTTTTACCCAAGAAGGGAGGGCTTACTTTTTAGGGTCGAGCAAGTCACGAACTCTTTCGTTATAAATTTCCATGTATGATACCTCAACTTTGAATGAAAGCGTCGCATTGCTAGTTTCCTGGATTCTGGTGAAAATCTGAAATTCAAAAGTTAATTAATTAGTTTTCCACTTAATTATGTTTTCTAGTAACTCACATCATTACAAACGCGTGGAATAATTCCCGGCTGGTCAGGTGTTCCCATCATTGTGTAAGACTTTCCGGATCCTGTCTGACCGTATGCAAATATACAAGCATTGTAACCCGAGAAGGCGTTCTCGACTACTCCAGATCCCAAATGATAGCAAACAGTTTCTTGGCTTGCGAAATCATAACTTTTCGGGTCAGTGGAACAGAAAGAGTGGTCGAACGTGAAAGTTTTCGAATTTTTTCTAAATTATTTCTTTATCAGTTTCTAATTGATAAGATAAGTGGACTCACTCTTCAACCGGGTGGTTCAGCACACATTGTTCCTTTTGGATTTTGACAACCGACTTGGTTTGCAGGTCAAGTTCTAAAAAAGTCGTAAAAATAAATTTTTAAGGACTCGGTCTCACCTCGTTTATTAAATGGACGTACGCGAATCGCGACTTTAACAGCGCTTTCTTCATCAGGCCCTGTCATTGTTTTAACCAAATCTGAGGAGTATTTTAGAACATCTGAAAATAAGCTTTTTGGTAAACAGTAATACAAAAATGATAAAAAAGAGAAAGAGAAAAGTAATCGATAAAGAAGAGAGTGTTGACAATATGTGAGGACAAAGGTGAGGAGAATAATCAAAAATTTATGAGGCAATCAGTTATGGAAAACTTTTCGAGTCGCAACGATGCAGGAAAATGGAGAAGAAGAACATAATCGGATGGGTAAAGAAGGAAAAGAAGAAAACTTGGAAAAAGAGAAAGAGAACCTATAAAAAAGGGTTTTGCTTGTTTTTTCGCTATGCTTGAAAAAAATAAGTGCAATTTCATTTGGCGCTGGGTGCTTCGTCGTCGGGGTGTGGAGCACATCACTGCCCGAAAGCGAGTGGAGCTTCTGTTGGAAAGGGATTAGTAGTTGTGGCTGAGATGGGAGAAGGAAGGGGGGACCCGCAACCAAAAACGGGAGGCGCACCAGCGAATCTCTTTTACATGACATATGTATGTGTCGGACACACTTTTCCGAAAAGCCACTTTGTTCTCAACTATCTAATTCTTTTACAATAAACAAAAGGAGAAGACGGATTGGTTGGAAAGGAAATGCGAAAATGATGAAGGATGGTGTGAAGAGTTTAGCTCTTCATGTCACTTTCAGGAGATGAGGCAATTCTACAAAGCAAACACGTACGACACGTTTGGCGCTGAAAGAATGTAGAAATGAAAGTTTCTCGGTTAGGGGCATGCAACCTGTGACAACGACCTTTCTTAGATTTTTTAAAAGGATCCCAAGAGCTTAGAAATACAGAAACATGACGTAATGCAGAAGCTCGTTTCTCGCCGAACCGGTGAAAAATGATATTCGGAACCTTATCCTCTTTTAGGGCTCTCTGGCGCCGTTCTCCTTTCTTTTTTATCTCCCGCGACATTCCAAAGGGCACGATACGAAACAATTCAGAATGATACATTGGCGTGCTTGCGCACACACGACCCCGCCGCGCCAATGAACCCTCCGAGCATTAACATTCTCATTTGCAATTGATGAACATCAAGTATGCTGATGCGCTGTCGGAAGGAGCCGCACACTCTCTCCATTTTTGCTCTTCTCTCTTAAAAAGAACAAGAGCAAAAGATGAGGCTGAAAAAACCGGAAGGGTGACATCGAACTTGTCGTTTTTTCGGGTGGTAGTGGATGTAAAGTTAAATTGAAGTTTTTTCGGGATCAAATAGAGCAAGTTGGAACGGCACTTAAGAAAATTGAAAAAAAAAACAGGGATAAAAAGTGCAATACTGCGCTCCATCCTCATGATAAAGTACTATGATAAAGTGCGAGCGCTCTCAGCGAATCTCGTGAGAAGTGAGAACGAGAACTGAAAAAATTTCAAATAATGAGAAAGCTTTCAATATTCCTAAAATCCTAAATCACACTTTTTCTTCTAAATTAACAAGTTTACGTAATTAAAGCACCAACTTTTTGGGGCGGGACGAAGAGAATCTAGGAGATGTCACTGATCATCTGATGTGCAATGAAAGAAATGAAGAAAAGCGTCAAAGTTGGCTACAATGACGTGCGAGAATCAGGAAAACTCCCAAATAAATGTAAAAAAAATATTTACAATACTTTCAAGTATTATGTAATCTCTTTTAAATAGTAAACAAGGATGTTATTTGCGGAATTAGGAATTCCGCAAAAACTGACTATTTTCGGATTGAAATTCCAGAAATATTTCTCAAGTATTTTCTCAGTATTACAGTTTTTCGAACTACAGTGTGTCTCCGGCGCACACGAAATGTTTCCTTGCGGGTGTCGAACAGAATTTATTTTAATTTTTTTTGCGTTTACGAAATCTGTTTGTCTATTTTTCACTTTCCGGGCTTTGGTGATGGGAAATTCCAAAATTTGGAAATTTCGAAGATTTGAAATTCGGGATATTTTGAAGATTCCGTAATTCCGAAGAATTGAGAAACCGAATTTTCAGAAATTCCGAGAAGGCCATTTTGAAAACTTTTAATAAAAAACATAATTCAGAAATTATTGTAGACAAAAAGATGTAGATTATTCAAAAACATAAAAAATCAAGTCTGGAATTTTTCGATTTCCCGAAATCTCAAAATTTGGATTTTCACATCCTTCAATTCAATACTAATAAAGTGAAATATGAGATAATCCAACAGGATCATCAATCAACGATTCTTTCGATTTTAATGTTGCCAAAAACCGGAGCCGTCGAAAAAGAGGACAATTGTCTCTCTTTCAATAATTACCATAATAGTCAAGATGGCCGAGATGATGTCACATGAAACGGAAAAGCCGCCTGTGCTACTTCCTTGAAAATTGTGGAAATCGGGTAAATCTTTCCTCGAAAAAGTATTCGACTAGACACATATACGACATACGAAAAAAAATAGAGAATCGGTTTTTCCCGCAGACCAAATGAAATAAAGACGAGAAAAGGGAAAGGAGCTATAGAAAAAAAAGGAAGAAGAAAGAGAAGAGAGGGTCCTACTCTTCTTTTTTCGTTGGATCATTGCCTACGGATATGTTTCAATAGTGGATTAGCGGCATGGTACCCAACGCACTACGAACCCAAATGTGTTGTAGACTTCGGGAAAAAAAAAACTAGTAAAAGGGGGCCCGGCGGCCAAGTGGCTAGAAGAAGGAAGAAAAAAAAAGAAGAGAACCGATAACAATTAGCTGGTAGGCGTCGTTTCTGTGCTTTTTTTTGCGCTGTTATTTTCTTGGAAAGATGCTCCTTCCGTATCTGACAAAAAAAACAGCTGATACTTACAAGAAACATGAGAGAAAAAAAGTATAAAAAGAAGCAAAAAAGAAGAACTGGGACTACTAGAAAAAACAATATCCCCCCAATTTGCATTTATTGTGTCTGTGAGTCTGCGTAGCATAAACATAGTGAGAAAAAGAAGAAAAATCAATTTTTTATGTCCTACTCCTAAAGGTTGTCGAAATTTTTTTCCTAGAAAAAATAGAAAAAATGGCAACAAGTAATGGAGCAGAATACAACTGATAAGGGATACACTGGTCAAAAATCTAATCTAACTGATAACGGAACGAGAGGAGACTTAGAGAAAGTGAGTGGGTTGAAGGTTGTATACAAAGGTATTGGGAGCACCAAGAATGACACTGTTGAATATTACGTAAATTGTGAAAAATGAATAAGTAATAGAAAAGTGTTAGGTTTCAAGAATCAGAATGTGTACAAACCTATTTTGAGTCAAGTAAAATGGTCAGAATTTTTATTGGGGTTGTTTCTAAAACGGGAGCTCTGAAATTCATAGTACCAGTCGATAAAATGTACAAAAAAATTTTGAAAATTTTGGAGAGTGTAAAAAAATTGAATCAAAAACTTTGCAACAAATTTTTCATAATAGATCTGTTTTAAATCTACCTAATTTTTCAAAGTGGGCGGAAACTTCACCGCCGAGCTCCAATCCTGTGAAAGTGGTCAAAATGGTCAAATAACCATGTTTTTCAATTTCCAAAAGTCTACTTCTTCATCTTGTTTTAAAAACAACCCACGTTTTCTCCAAACACTAATTTTCAAAGCTAACAGATTGTAAAAATCAAGATAAATTGACACATTCCAATAAAAAAAAGACCAACCGCCAAAGAGATGAACAAACCTTGAGAAGAAGAAAATACCTCAGTATTTGTGTAAAAAACTTTTTTTTGTTGATGAAAGAGTGAGAGACCGTCGAATTGGAAGATTAGATCTGAAAAGTTGCGTCACGTATAGCAGATGGCATCTAAAAAGTTTTTTTTTTCCTTGAAGCCAATCGGCTGTAACACTACCAGCTTCTTAGTTTGAATTCAAACTGATTACTTTGTTAACGAAAAGAAGTTCTAAAGTTGTGAAAACAAATTTCGATATAGTATTGGCAACGAAATCTAGAGAAACCATCAAACATTAAAACTCTGCGGCGGCGGCAATCGCGGCACCCCGCGAGCCGCGATAATTATCTTGATGAATTGGTAACAAGTGATTTTACACTGATCACAAAGCCCAGAAGCTCCGAAAACCAGGAAAAAGTGGCAATACATCCCAAAAAATACCTCGGCTAACCAAAATACAAGTGGAAAAAAGCAGAACCGAACAGAACAGTAGGGAGAGTGATAAGAATAGATAAATATTGGGCCACACTAACTGTCAAATAATGAGATGTGAGACAACTAGAGAGGCGAGTGGTGATCAGTGAACAGAAAACAGAAAGCAGAGAAAAAATGGTCAGAATGACCTGGATTGAAAAGATATATTTTTAGATTTTTCTATTTTATTCCGCTGAGAGTTAACAAAAGAAGAGCATAAAAATGAAGAGCTAGGTTAATTTTCTCAAGAACTTTTTTCTCTATTTTTTTTGGAACTCAAGCAATCAAATTGTATTCGCCTGGCCACGAAGACTAGGCTAATGGCACCCCGTGGGTTGATAAAGTGTAAAAGAATGGCAGGAAGTGAGTTGCTGCGAGATGAGCATGCTTCTCCTTTCTCTTCAAACGCCTCATCCGCCCCGTTTTCTCTGCTGCTGTTCGGAAACAAAAGAAAGTGATCCGCAAACACATATCATAACAAGATATTGAAACCTTTTGCTTCACATTCTCACATCTTGATGCTATTGTTGGTGCCTTGAGGCATTTTTAAAGAAAGGATGAGTGAAGATGTATTTGACATAAGTTTCAAGCAGAATCAATTGTCCAAACTCATTTTTAGATCGAGTTCTTAAAAAAACAGATATATTTTGAGTGCTTTCATTTAATTACTTTGATTCATATAGAGATATCAACAGCGGCATTATTTCGTAAAGAAATGTTGTCACGAATATAATTTCTGAAGAATTTTAGGATATTTTTGATTACTATGTACTGCTTACAATTACCGTATTTGCTATCAGAAAGCTGCTGTCCACTTTGAGCTCGATTATTTCGATTCCAATGAAAGATCTCTAAATATTGTCCACTGATAAATTATTATCGTAATA